TTTTTTTTTTAAACCTCTCTTGGATTACGAGCTGAAAAGAGTCTCATTTGACGTATAAAATCTCTTTAGCAGTATCGGTGACCCTCGATGCTGCCACCAAATCTCAAACTCATCACAACCCCGCCTGAAACCATTCCCCAGTAGGGCGCAGAAAAGGCCCGCAAAAATGGACCACGACGACGATCTTACCGACATGGTTTTCACTCCACCACTTTCAACACGCTCAGGTGGTCGAAAGCGAAGGGCAAGTCAAACGCCGCAGGAAACCCTGCGACAATTTTGGAATCAGTTTAATTCGAAATTCCCGGGGAGAGTCTATACTGTACTCCCCGATAATCCTTACGCACGTACCAAAGCAGAGAGGGTACCGAAAGGTGTTATCCAGGGCCAAGATGCGGGCAAATCCTATGAGGAAGCCCGAAAAGAATGTCGGCGGGCTGTCGATCGCATTGTGAAAGAGTGCGAGCGACTGAACCAGAAATATACAGATCCGCATTTCGATATAGAAGTTGATCTCAAGTCAGGAAAGAGGAACTGCCTGGATACGCTCGAGGAGGAAAATATGGAGATGCGCCCAAGGGGTGTGAAGCGGGTGACAGTAAGTTATGCAGTACATGCCGCTGCGATCGAAAGGTAGCTGTGATCTGACAGGCGGTTTTAGGAAATATTTGAGAAACCACGGTTCTTTGTGAATGGACCAACTGCTTCCGACGTGCGCCAAGGTCGCGATGGTGATTGTTGGTTCATGGCTGCCCTCTGCACAATGGGCAATAAAAATGGTTTGATTGAGCAGATTTGCGTAGCCCGGGATGAGAAAATCGGTGTCTATGGGTTTGTCTTCTATCGAGGTACGTCATATCTTCTGTCAATCATTTGCTGATGTGAACGACACTGACACTTTTCAGATGGTGAATGGCAACAATGTATTGTGGATGACAAATTGTACCTGCGAGCGGCCGACTACGATGAATCAGTAGATGAGCGACCAATCTGGGACGATATCAATCGGGCTGATACAGAAGAAGAGTATCGCAAGGTCTGGCAGACTGGATCGCGAGCTCTGTACTTCGCCCGGTGTGTAGATGACAACGAAACTTGGCTGCCATTGCTTGAAAAGGCTTATGCAAAAGCCCATGGAGATTTCTCAGCCATTGAAGGCGGTTTTGTAGGGTCAGTGATTTTGTTCCCTATCTAAGGATCCTATGGGAAACTGACATTGCGCAGGGAGGCTATTGAAGACTTAACTGGCGGCGTTACTTCCGAGATCTTGTCGAGCAGCATCCTAGACAAAGACAGGTTCTGGGAGGAAGAGCTTATGAAAGTGAACAAAGAGTTCCTCTTTGGTTGTGGTACCGGTCTGTTCTCTAACTGGCTGGACCCGAAGTATCGCGGCCCTCCAAGAGACAGGAAGGGTATATCCGAGAACCATTCGTACTCCATTATGGAGGCAAAGGAAATTGATGGAGAGCGCTTGCTTCGTCTAAGGTAATCTATCCGAGATTATGACACTGCATCCCTAGCTGATCAACCTAGGAACCCTTGGGGTAAGAAAGAATGGACTGGCGCATGGAGTGATGGGTCAGAGCAATGGACACCTGAGTGGATGGAAAAACTAGGACATAAATTCGGTAACGATGGTGTATGGTTCCTCGAATCTGGCATACTACTGGACGCATGCTAAACAACATATGTCACAGTTCTTCTGGATCTCCTATAACGACCTTCTGAAAAAGTATCAGCACTTCGATCGCACCCGTCTATTTGGGCCCGAATGGTCGATCGCACAACAATGGACTACCGTGAATGTGCCATGGTCTGCCGACTACCACAGCACTAAATTCATGGTGAACGTGACGCAAGCAGGCCCAGTAGTCCTTGTCCTCTCCCAAGTAAGCTCCTGCACCCAGGCTGCATTGGTTCACATGGCTTGCAAGAAACCCCGCTAACATGAAAAAGTTGGACGCGCGCTACTTCAGGGGACTAGCTGGTGAATACGGCTTCGTCCTTAAGTTCCGGGTGCAAAAGGAAGGTGAAGATGACTACATGGTGCGCAGCCAAAGCAGCCACCTGATCAGTCGATCCGTGAACGCAGAAGTCGATCTCGAGCCTGGCCGCTACCATGTACTGATGAAAGTCACGGCGTACAGAAACGGCGAGATGGAATCGACCGAGGAAGCGGTAAGCCGTTTAGCACCGATCAAGCGAGAGAAACTCGTCCAAATCGGTCTCTCCTACGATCTGGCACACGCCAAGGGAATGGTAACCGAGTCAGAGGATGAGAAGCGGGCACGCGAGGAACTCGAAAATCGTCGCAAGGCAGCAGAGAGACAGAAGCAGATCGAGGCTACCAGGAAAAAGTTGCAAAAAGAATGGATTCGGGAACAGAAGATGACTGCCCGGAAACAGAGAATGACAGAGAGGCTCTCTGCAAGAAACAATAGCAACGCTGTTAGAAACAAAGCCATCGAGCAGATTCTCACTGACGGCCCGGTACAGTCTCCGGTAGAACTGGGCGGCGGTTCAGGTGATGGCTTTGGTACAAAGCATACAAGGAATGGCAGTGTGCCGATCATCCAGTGCAACGGGGTTCATGTTTCCGAAGCCGAGATCACCGGGAAAGGACAGCCAGGACAGTCGACTCTAGACTCCACGTACTCAAGTCTCTCGTCGTACCATGAAGACCTGGACATGTTGGAGGGATTCGAGTTTGATCCTGACCTTGATATGCCCCCTGAAGAGCCAGCAGAGCCGAAGCCTGCACACTTGATATCCAATGGCTGTCTGGAGGAGACCACCAGTGACCCTTGGAATGCCGTATGTGTCGTAGGCTTGCGGGTCTACTCCAAAGATCCACAGTTGTCGCTTGAAGTATTCCGTTCCGTATCTGAGGGAGACACTGGTGCGGCGCTTGATATGGACGATCCCCTGAAGAGTGCATCCTTTAGTCGACTGGAAACCAACTAATTCTATGATCTTGGGTAATCAAAATCGGGATTTTTCTTTGGCGTCTTAGCGATTGATAGCAATGGTGTTTCCCGAGTCGAGCCACCACGTGAATAGATTGTTATTTTAGCTCTTCGACCATTCATTTTTCATCATCATCATTATCATCATCTCATTGCCATATTTTGCCAGTAATAATTCAATAGCATCAGCAGGTCATGAAACCAGGCGATTAACTTCCCATACCCAAGGACAACTTCTTCAACCCCGTTAAACAAATATAGCGCAAAAGAGGCCCTGCGAAGGCTAGGACAACAAAATGAAAAGAAAAGTAAACAAGCATCATCTGAACGCCCTCTATGATAAGTTGAACCTCGTTAAGATTTCAGGATGTTCCTTGAATTCGGGGCTTTTAACCATATCCTGCATCGGGGCCAAGTCACGTTCCTCAAGTGCACCCGGCTTGCCAGGCTCAGGTTTGGAGCCATCATACACTCCAGCCAGGAAGTGCATGAAGGCTTTCAGGTACTGGACAATTTTTCCTTCAGGTACATCCCTCAGCACCTCTGACAGGATACCGGGTGCGTAGTAGGGGAGAATGGCGGTACCATCTTCAATGCCGTTTACACTCAGTCCCTTCACCAAATCCGTTTTTGCAGAAGATGGCAAATTCGAAAAAGCAGTCCGAAACTGCTCTGCCTGTGCCCTGGTCTCCACTCGTCCCATACAAAGAAGTCGAAGAAGCGCACGGTCTTCTGAGTTGCTGGTAGATAGTGAAGCGAACCCATCGGCCGCCAAAATATCAGCACGGTAAGCCAGATACTTGTCGTAGCATTCAGGCCAGTCGGGGCTTTCCATCTTGCGATATTCATCCAAGAGCTCGATCGTCTTCATGTAGTGACTGAATATCGGTTGCGTCATCACAATGCATCCGCGCGGGTCACTATGCGCAGCAGCCCCTCCCACGTCCAGAAACGTTACCATAGCCTTGATATTGAATGCTTCGTGAAGCTTCTGGCAATCATTCAGAGCAAGCATGCTGTGCGGGACTGTTTCCCCCTGGACTATTTGCGAAATATCAAGTTTCGCGCCGATCTTCAGGCTCTGGACGATATTGTTTTTCCTGACTTGGTCTGTGACGGTTTCCAACGCAGGCACTAACCCCCTCTCCACGGCTTTGAGTAGCACTTCCCCGTGATTCTTTTCCGGGATTCCCACCTCCTCAGCAAGAGCCTTGTCCTTCCCGATATCGTCAATGGCAATTGCAACAATAAGAGCATAGATATCATCTGGTTCATGCAATCGAGAGAGAAAGAACCACCGCAGATCCTTGAAAGAGTCCCGCTGGAGCTTCCTGTTATTTTGGCCACTTGTGAACGTCTCATATTCCCCCGCAATGACCCATTTGACGGCCAACATGCTGGTTAGTGTTCGGTTCACTTCGTGGAAATCCTCCCCGAAGATTCTCTGTGATGGTGTCCACTCCCAATTCCTCGTTGCACCGGATTCCACGGTGGGACTTGCATTCTTTAGATGATTGAGCTCAGCCTTAAAGGCATTTTTTAAGAGATCGAGGAACTGATCGTCTGAGATGTCGAAAAACTTGTCCTGTTTAACAACATCAACAAGAGACTCTTGTGGGTCGGCCATACTGAACAATATCTTGAGGTAATCCTCTCTGCATGAATTGGTTCAAAAATAAAATAAAATAAAACGGGTTCAGCACCACAATAAATAGACGAACGAACCGGGACGCCTTGGGAGAAGAGGCTGAGCTGATATAGAGGGTCATTGCCCAGCCGGAGGCTAGCGTATTTTTCACAGGCGAATAAACCCTGAGAAGAGGCGCTGCTTAGGGGTAACAAGGTTCTAGGAAGATTCCAAGAGCGATCGGCAAGGGGCATGAAAACCAGAAGAATGCAAGTCCCCTTGTGTGCATACAACGGAGAGTGAGTTACATCATCCCGTTTTATTAAGTCATTCCCCTGGTCCCATCCATGGAACAGGACTCTTATCACAACAACAACGTCCATTATTTCTATTCTGGTATATAACAGTTGCACCCTCCGCCATCCTTTATGGCCTGTTGAAAGTAATACTCGTGTCGAAAGAAAGTTCCCGCGACCGCTCGTTCGGTCCGAACTTCCTCTGTATACGAGACATGCAGCGATGCACTGCGCATTGCTATCCCTTCGCCTGTCACACGACGTCTTTGATTCGGTTTTTACAAGAGCACGAGACTCGTCTCATCTTCCTGTCTCAGTCATTCAGTTCCCGTAGGTAACAACGGATACATATCCTCAAAGTAAGCAACCCGTAACCCCCAACATCAATGACCCGAGACTAACCAAAGACCCAGTATCACACAACCACCGTCCCCACCTCAAAACCATACAAAGTAATCATCCATCTACCACCGGGCTCTTTATTCATGGACTCTAGTCCGGTACCACACCATAAAACCACCGAAACCGTTTTAATCCAGACACCGCAATCGTAACAATCAATTGTCGTCCAGGTCTGAGAAATTCAATCCCCAGCCCCACGAAAGAACCCGCGCACCACTACCACTATTCAACCCTCAACTGGGTCCAGCCGAACCTCCAGCCCGTGCACGTAGGCACCCTAGGCATCCACATCGGCGGCTCTTGAGAATCAATGCTAGCGCTTACAGAAGCACAGATGATCAATGCAGTAGCAGCGATCGAGCCGGTCCGTGATTGGACGGCGCTAATCGAGTGCTGCGCCCGATGTTATCAATCAGCATCAACAACCACAGTTAGTAGTAGTCGTACCGTGGCGAGGGCCTCCCCACAGGATTTGCTCACCTTGCTTGACGCGCGAAAAGGGGTATTTTTAGCTACTCCAAAAACAATATTTTGATGCGTTCTCATCACCGCTCCTCTCTATACTTCGATCGCCTGGGAAGAATGGACCGGAATTGTTTCCCGAGTATCTTACTAGACTGCGATATCCGGGTCCGGGAGACAACCTGCTGACTCTGGGGGAGTTGTACGATGACGATGAAGAGAGGAAAATGGCGATGAACGGGCCTTTTCCGAATACGAACTCTCGGGGGCCTCGTACTCAACCTAATTGTGGTTCTGGTCCGGAGCCGAATACCCTCCTGGTCGTGGCAAGACCCTCTTGACGATGGGCGCCGTGTGGTTTAGATTACTGCGGTGGCCGTGCGAGGTGGCTTCCACTTTGCCGCAGTCGGCCCACTGAAAAGCTACAAGTGACTTTACCCTGGGGATGACTCGTCGTTGGCAAAGATGGGTGATTGTCTCATGTTTACATACGGTGACCATGAGGCAAGGCGAACTGTTCCCTGCGCTCAGTCCTACGCCGACAGGGTCATGGTATAGTCGATATCATGCGTCAGACATGCTTCTGGGGTCACGAGAAGGCTTTGAGAAGCAAGTCGCGCAGCGTGAAGTCCCTTCTGAGACGTGGTCTGCCGCTGGACAGAGCAGTGCTATGAGTGGTGGATAATATGTTGCAGAAGGGGAATCGCGGGACATGCTAACCAACAAACCAACCCAATGATAGTTGAGATCCTGAGAAGTGAGATCAAAGGCGCCAAAGAGCGATTGAGACGGTAAAAACAAGATAGCAAGAAAGGGAAACAGCAAAAAGAGATGCGAATGCTCCCACGCGGATTTGAACCGCGGACCTCATGATTACTAGTCATGCGCTCTACCAACTGAGCCATAGGAGCTCTTCTTGGAAAGGTTAGTTTATTAAGCATATACAATCTACTTTGCTACAGATGGGAATTTTATCACGTCGCCTTAGCATCATGTTTTGTGCAATTATTACTTGAAGCACAGGCCGCGGCCGAAGAACCACCTTACCCTTATTCTAAAACTCTAGGGACGACCAAGGGAGGAACCTGATTATAGAGGATGTTATAGCACCGATACTGGAAACCCAAAAGAAGCGCAGAAATACAATGCGCTTATATACGCCCTGCAACCTATTTGAGATCAAGCACCATGTCGAGAGATATGACAACACGTATTACTTTCTATATTATAATGTCTATAAAGAAGGTCCCGGGAAGGTGTTCCCACCTGGAGTATCCCACCAGGGCTCAATGTCGGAAAGACTAGGCAATGTAGGGTCCTCCCCGAAGGTATTAACGTTACCAAGCTGGGAGAAACTACTATCTCCAAAGTTTCCCGAAAGCAACTGCAAGTCAGAATTGCGAATCCAGTCGAACTCCCCAGGCACCCCGATTTGCTGAGTCGTGTCGAGAGGATGTTGCCCAGAAGGTTGCGCTTGCGGCTGCAGCTGGTTAGGAATGGCGTTAGTACCCTGTGATGTCGCTGTCACAGAGACTGGATAGTTGAGTTGGTTTCTTGGAGCAGTGATTCGTGTCTTCTTCCTGGAAGCATCTGCGTCCGAGCCGATGCCTACTAGATGTTGCGATGATGGTCGGTTGCTTATTTGGCGCTTCAAAGCTGAACCTGACCTGCGCATATGGGCCTGCCACCTTCGTTGTAGACTGACCAGGAAGTCACGGGTCCGTTTGGCGTTTTCAAACGACTGGCCCAGTTCGTCCAATGCACGGAAGCAAAGATTCAAGTAAGCAACCATTTCTGCATTGTTATTGTTGTTATCGTTGGGGCTTCTGCCAGAAGTGGAAGTGTTTGAAATTGTGACGTAAAGGAGCATCAAAGCCGCGCTAAATATAATGGCCACGACTTGGTTGTTCATGCGACGGAATGTATAGGATTTCTCGTAGATATGGAGCAGCCGTGCGATCGCCGTCGAAGACTCGATGCACATTCGCCGAGCATGGTGATAGCCCGGTCCCTGACGAGGAGCGCGCGGCTGGATGTAACTTTTCGAAACCCACGGTCTATGCGTGAAAATCACAATTTGGTGGTATTGCATACTGCACCCAAGTTAGCTTATGTATTTAAAGATCTTTTTATTCCGACAGAACGCATAGACATACTGAAGCATTAGAAGTTGGGGGAGTTGAGGAGTTGTGTCGTTATCAAGTTTAATATCCAGAATAGATGGCAAATTTGCTTTCCAGGCAAACAAGTCATCTGTTACCCTATGGCACAACCTTTGAAGGTCATGCCGAGGGATATCGGAGCAACCATACCTGCACCGCGTTAATACACATGATGAAAACCAATAGCAATATACCATGCTTTCAAGGAATTGAGCGCTTACAAAATATGACCAACGGGTGAGATTATCTCCCACAGAACGGCAAATTGTCTGCTGATCAATTCATTTGGATTCCTTAGACCATGCTTCAGGATGTCCGATTTCGATGGAAGTCCATAAGGATACCATGTGCTTTCTTTCTCTGCGCCTAAATTGGACGCAAGCTTCGGGACGGTGATGTCTCCCGCATTCATTCGAAATGGTCTTCCTAGATAAAAGCCCCAGAAACTATAACAATGTCAGACATTTGAGAAATGACGCTACGGGTCAAGCAAACATACTGATCGGCAGTGTAACTTCCCCAGAAAGCTATTCTCCGCACGTCAGCTTCAAAGGCTCCTATTTCTCCTTTCTCAACATATGGTGTCATGTCAATATGTAGTCCAAGGTCAAACGCAAGCCTTGTGGACATCCCTAAACCAGCATCAGCGTTGTATGCCTCCGATTATCAGCATTTCCTACATACCACTATACAGCCACCCACGAGCATCACGATTCGCAGACCCTTCATGGCAACTCAGAATTACAAGCGCCTGTACTGTGGCAACACAGGGAGAGTCCAGCTCAATCTCTAGAAGCGCTTTCGCCCTGTCTGCGAAGAACTCTGACAGAGATTTGGGAAAAGTGATGAATGTAGGATGATATCTTGCTTCAAAAGCACTTCCAATGGCACACCTAACTTCTCGTTAGTCTGCATACCGCCGGGTGTCTAACATGGAACATACATCGCGTTCGTAAGAACTTCCGAATAAAATGGCGTGTCATCATACTCATTCCTCCACTTCGATCTAGCAATCATATACATATCTCTATCGACCACATAGGTGCTTGTATTCTGCCAAGTGAAATACAGCTCCACAAGATGGTCTTCAAGTGCTTGATCAACGGGCTGTCCAACTCGTAAATGGTTCAGGATATCCTGACCATCATGGCGGACTGTGCGCGCATCAGGACGTTGGCGCTGTTGGGTTGCCGAAACGTCTACCAGATTGAGGTTCGATGTCGCTCCATAAAAGCGTAAGTGACCATCGCCCGCAATTTTTAGAGTACCAATGCGATTTGAAATTTGCTCGATAACGTCCTTCTCCGCCTCATCTTCGTCGCCGCTGTCTGATTCATACTCTCTATCGTGACGCGCTTGCCTGAGCAGCTCTCCGGGCTGCTGCTGCATATCTGGAGTCAACTGCAGACTTTCTGGACTAAGACTGTTTTCTTGAGAAAGACTAGTACCATCATTTAGATTGGCATAGATCGTGTCCAAGCTCTCCGCCGTTGGAAGTGTAAAACCCCAATTCGCAGGAACATAATGGCTGGTGGGAATCGAGTTGATCCCGAACGAATTTACTGTATCTCGACCTTTCTCAGCTGAAGGGACGAGTTTTTGGTTAGACAACGCATTCTGTGGCGGTGAAGGAATCCCCGGGGCGCGCTCATTTGCATCCGGCATAGCTGAGGGACTGCTGTGCGCGGGTGAATGCGCAACAGCTTTTTGCGGAAGAGAGATTATCTCATTAGCTACGCTAGTGTCTCTTTTCTTCGCTAGCCCGCGAGGGATCTGTAGCGTATCCAAAACTCTATTAACCCCCGCCTCATCCTCAGGTTTCATTGGGGGCGGTTCCAGGCCATGGTCATAAATGAACTGGCACAGTTGATCTATTCTGGCAGAAAATAGCTCTGTGGCAGCACGAAGAGACACCCTGGAGTAAAGCTAGTCAGCGCCTGTCTGCGGTGCGCGAGCATAGATCACAAGCTTTGCCTGCCTTCTCGAGAACGCGAAATCTGCTGTGCTCAAGACACGAAATGTGTTCCAAAATTGACCAGCAGTAGACATAAGATGAGCTGAACATACTTCCGTTTGTCATCGCCGTGTTGGTATTTACAATCTTTGCCTTTCCTCTCACAGTTATGGCAATGCGGAGTAGCTCCGTCGCACTAGTCAAGAGCCGTCAGTTGTTGGATACAATATAGGTCATGTGATGATCGATGAAAACATCTTGAACATGAGGGCCACCATACCCTGATCTTGCTCTCCCGGCAAGGAACGCATGCCGTAGTGACATGTTTGCGAGGCGCCCTCTTGGGCTTCTCTGTCAGAGGCTCCATCGCACCGGTAGTAGTGTGGCGGGAAGCGTGGGGGAGACGAAATATTCTCCGGTTTTCAGAAGCAACCGGGGCGGCTAATTCACAAAACGAAGAGAAATCATGGGTCAGCCGACATCTACAGAGGATGGCTTAGCAGAATACATGTCCATAGCAAGATTTGTGGGAATGATGAAGTCGCCCAGCATGGCCGCGCAAAAAGCTGTTCGGTCCTTGGTTCCTGGGGAAGTCTGGGAACGATGGGAGCTGATGGCTTCTGACTGGGCGGGGAGTGGCCCCACTTGCACCCCAGAGTTGCCCTATGAGACTCGACGCAACACTCATCACTATCCACCCTGAGGTAAAATTTCCCGCTCTCAGGTGATCCAGTGCAATGTCTTACGTTCAATAGACATTGAACATGTATACATAATAGTTACACGAACGCTCCCGTTATACGAACATTGATCTACAGAGCTCAACAGCTAGCGTGACATTACCAATTGCTGGTGCGCTTAAGTGCCTCGTTCTGAATCACTTCGATCCAGTATCCATCGGGGTCCAGCACAAAGGCCACGTTCTTCATCCGGCCGTCAGTCAACCGCTTCTTCCAGTTCACCTTCAATGATTCGAAGCGATCACAGGCAGCATTGAGATCGTCAACAGAAACGCCTACCCCAAGTATCGTAGTGTCAGTGGTAAGGGCTCTTCTAGCTCTATGATGACATCGGCAAAGAGAAGGTCACTTACAGATATGGCCGAATCCTTGTGGCTCAGCATTACCATTGTGGTAGACAGGACCTTCTTGCTTCTCCGTTCCATAGTTCCAGGTGAGCTCGAGCAAACCTTCCCACTCAGCCACGGGATTCTTGGCGTCCTCCTGCACTTTGGCATTACCGGCAGCGTATCCCAAGAAATAAAGATTGAAGCCTGCATCCTTATTCTCAAAGGTTCGCAAAAGGGTCATGCCCATGACTTCTTGGTAGAATTTCAAACTGGTCTCTGCGCACTTCACGCGGAGCATGCTGTGGTTGAGTCGGTAGTTGGCGGTATCGGTCGTCGTACCCACATCCTCGTCCTGACGACGGATAATCTCGACCCAGTAACCGTCAGGATCCTTGGCGAAAGCAATGTGCTTCATGCGCCCCTCAGTGAGCTTCTTTTGGAAAGGATAGCCAGCGTCTTCAATTCTCTTGCAGGCCGATTCGATGTTATCAACAGAGATTGCAATATGACCAAAGCCGCGATGGGGTTCCGTGTTGCCATTGGCTACGCTGTAGTTGGGGTCATTCTCTGTGCCATAGTTGTGGGTGAGCTCCAGAACAGCGTGGCGGTCCGTCCAGTGACGGTCACCCTGCAGAGACTTGGGGCCGTTGTACGCGAGGAAGTAGAGCGAAAACTTGTTTTCGGGGAAATCGAGTTGTTGAATCTGAGTAAGTCCGAGGAACTTGTAGAATTCCACTGGAGTAGAATATTTCAGTATTCAAGCCAGCAATGACACCATGATGCAAGGATACTCACGGGACTTCTTCGGGTCCTTGACCCGGAGCATAGTGTCTGTTCCGGTAGAGCCATTGTCAGCCTTTCATTCGCATTCCATGGATTGGAAACCGACTAACGATTGAGCTTATACTTGGAAGTATCCGTCGCCATGGTTGCGAGATATCTATTGGTTCCTGCATCGATTTGTAAGTAGCTGAAGACCACCAGTGGGGTAAATCTTAGCCTAAGCTTTGGCATGGTGACCTACCTGATAAGATAGAAAACCTTAGGTTGAGGACCCTGGAAGAGGATGTTCGAAAGGAAGAAAGAGCACGAAAAGCAAACATGGGGAGAGGGGTAAGAGGGGGAAGAGAAAAAAATACGTGCGGTGTTACTATTGCTTAGTGAGCGGCGTGAGGGGAGAGAACTTGAAGTGGACAAGGTGGGGACGCCCTATGACGCTATTGCACTCCATTGAGTATGGTCTTCGTAAGATGGGAACTTATTCAACAAAGTACTTTTAGACTAGAGTATATGAAGAAGAAGTACCAGCGTCTGTTTCTGAATTTATTCACTAAACTTGTGATTTGTCTTCTGGCTGAAGATTGAAAATGAAAAATGATAATGTATAGAATTGCACGTGATTATTACCTATACCTAGAGAATCTGAGCTACCTAGTAAGTACTAGCACCAATCAATTACTAGAGATTGGATACCGATCAAGCGAATACGGCCCGTAAGTGGCCCAGCGATTTATGCTTTCTATTTACATAGTTGGATTTGGCCAGCTACTAGGTAAACATTGGGCATCAAGCTCTGAGCCTCTAGATATGGCCTGGCGTATATGTCCGAGGATCGGACTTACAAGAATAAGAGAGTTATAAAATGTCGAATGTTTCTGAGACACGCGTCGAGGCAAGCCCCTAAATACGTTCCCTCGTATAACTTCAAGCCGCAGCCCTCGAGTGGAATGGATGCGAGATCATAGCGCACAATATATAATGCCATCACAAATGAGTATGACTCAACCCGAGTGATACTATTTGATCTTCGCATTGTGGGGCTAAACTCTGTTAATGGTAGGACTCCCCGTGGGATTTGATAGTTAAACATGATGGTATTCGAGGAACACTTTGGATTATTGACAAATGCTTGTATGTAAATCGAGCTGGAGCCCAAGGGCTATACCGGTTTGGGAGCAAAGGCGGTGGCCTGATAGGGAAGGGGACAATGCCCAATCGGGTGATGACATGGGCGTTCATTCATCCATTCATTCCTCTTGCTTGCTCTTCAGCTACTACTAGTAGTACTTAGTAGTATACATACATACCATCCTACCCCTTACTTTCAGCAGTCAAGGTATCTAGATCCAGTCTGCCGCATTTGCCGGCCATAAATTGACCAAATTGCAGCCTCCGATACCTAGTCCAAGTGCTGGTCGAAGTCTTTCCCCATCAAGGTTTGTTCGCTGTTCTTTGTTGATTCCCTCAAACTTCCCCCCCCCCCCCCCCGAACGATCTTCGTCGGCTTAGATCACACGCGACTGGCGTGAATTCCGTTGCTTGCTTTTTTCTGTGGTCCTGTCCAACTGCACCTCGCATTTTCCCTTGCCTACCCAACCCGTCCTGCATCCCACATGGTTTACTTTCCCCACGTTGTCAGAGATCGATATTGATCAACTTGTGCCCGCAATGGGTTGCGCGGCTTGGGGTCGAGTCATGGAATGGGGGCATCAGTCCATTTCCTGGCTTCATCCTCTCCTGAAACTTAACCACTTTTGTGCCCCTAATCGTGTGGCGCACTATACACCGTCTAAAATTATCTTTACTCCCCGTACATTTTAAAGATTGCCATCCCCATGCCCTTGCGCTTCTAGACCCTTCTAAGCTGCTTTTGGTTTCACTACTTGTCCTGCTATCCCTAGGCGCAAATGGCTGAGTATCAACTTTCAGTTCGATTTGGTTATTCCTCTAAGGAATCAGCTGCTCTCTACGAAGCAGAACACTGTCCATATTGGGCACAAAGCCCGGTCAAGTACGCCCAAAACCTCTTAGAGTACTCAGACGAGCCGATCGAGTACGATCACCACGACAGTGATTACTCAGACAACTGCTTCTTCTTTCCTGAGGACTGTTCTTGGTCACCGCCTCGCGACTGGATCCTCGAAAACGAAGAATCCGAAGACGATACCTCCAACAGTGAGGACCACGACACCATGATTCCCGGTCTTCCCGATATCAAAATGCTCGACGCGGAGGCCCTCAGCGACTTGCTGGAGGATAACCTCTCGCCCCCGGAAATCACCACGATTCTGTACGGCATATCGTGATCACTTTACCCCCCCCCCCCCCCGTATTGTGCTAATGGCTCGTCATCCATGTAGAGTATTTGGTACTAATGGTGCCATATTTGCGTACGCCTCGTCTCTTCCATCCCGGCAGCTGCGAAACTTGAGCGCAACATACGGGGCCGCTTACACAGCCTACGCAAAGAATGCCTCAAGTGGTAACCTGACGGGTGTAAATCCCGCCAGTCACCCATCATCATATGTGACAGCCCAATCTATCTCTCTCGGCGATGTAGGGTCTATCGTCTTCGAACTCGACGAACTTGTCGCCGTAGTTACCAGAATAGCGGATAAAGTGCTCCTTGCCGCCGTTGGACCGTCCCAACTGGAGCCCGAAGGAGAGGCAGGCCCTTCAACTGGTGCGCAGAATGGCTCCATGAACCCCAGTGCGGACGAGTTTCCCCTGCATGAGCCTAGAACAGGCGCCAATGGTACTTCCACCAACCAAACTCCCACCAACGGAACCCCCAATAGCATCAGCCGATCTCACAGCGAGGCCAACATGCAATCAGATGCGCAACTTGAAACGCAGTATGAAATCGACCGAAGTAATGACCTCGCACGATTGGCAAGTCTAAACCTTTCATCCTCGCCGTCTATTTTGCTCGCTCTAGAGTCAAAATCTGCAGCGTTAGGCAAATTCCTCAGTCAGAAACTGGAGGATCTTGAGAGTCCCGAGGACTTCTAGGCTTATGGCACCATCGCTATTTTCTTCGTGTAACCTTCAGTTTTCTCAAATTGTTCTATATTACCTTTCTTCATGAGCCTTATGAGCTTCTTGTTATTTAGCCTATGATTCCATGTTTGATCGATACTCCCGTCTTGAAGCGTCTTCTCATTCAATCTTGTGATTTATTAAGGCCGTGTTCCGATTGTGTCTTGACAGAGCAGAAATTGTACCGAGAATTACTCGACTTAGTGGACCCAGCAGGCATTGTTCGACCAATCGATTATTATGAACAAATTAAAATTTTTACAGGTATCTAACCTATAGCAATTTGCTAAGTGATTAATAGAGAACGGGAGAACAATAGCGTTTTGAAAAGAAGGTATATCGCTGAATCTCTGTTTCAAGAAGAAAAGATATTATAGCAACCATTATAGACAAAATGTCCAACTTAGTTATATATAGAAAAGTAATGGACTGACTTAGGCCTTGTCGCCGGTAGTGGCGGTTCCGCCCGGAGCAGTATGGAAGTGTCCACTGGCCGTGCTAGCGGTCCGAGACACTGCAGGGGGAGAGATTGGGGATGGAGCCGTTGCCTCACTCGTAGCAGGTTGCGCGGCCTGGGTTGCAATTTGAGGAGCTGTAGCCTCGGCGGGGCTTGTTGCCTCATTTGCCTTCTCACTGTAAGCTGGGGGGTGGGCGACAGCAGGGCTTGCCGGCTGGGAGGATGTGGCGGCAACGGCGGCAGCGGCAGCGGTATGCATCGGGCCACGGGTGCAATCCTTGATAACAGTCCACCATTTCTCGGCGTCGTTGGCGGTATGGGCTTTGAAGCTCAATTCAGTGGTGGTGTGGAAGGCGTTGCCGACTTTGCTGCCCGAGACATCCTTGCCTTTCACGCTAAACTTGACGCCGTCGATCGCGCCAATCACACAGTCGGGAAGGTATAGAGACAGCTCTGGAGCCGGATCGCGGCGGAGGTCGTCGTCATCCTTGAACTCATGGAGGTACCGCGCAGGAGTGACAACGTAGTAGCCAGAGCTATAGCCCTTAAGCATGGCACGGGACTTGCGTTCCAGAGACCCTTCGATCAGTGCCTTGGTCGCACGGTGATCCATGTTGGGAAAAGTGATGTTGGAGAGGGTCCTCGGGGGGGCATCCGGGTTGATAAGGACATCGTCATTCTTCGTGATGAAGTTGAGCCACTCGAAGTCAGGAGGGATTTTCTGAGCGGAACCCAGCATATCCTGATACATAGTACCCTGATTCTCGAGCTGTCCAGACATGATCTGGACGAATTGTTCCACGGCCCCCTGAACGGTCTGCAGAACATGCGCCTCGAACTGCTGGAAGTTATTCTGCACAGCAATGATATCATTGCGGTTGTTGTTCTCCTCGATAATTTGCTTGTTGAGACGATGGTTGATACCCCGGCGCAAGATGTAAGGGTCATGATGCTGTTCAATCTTATTTCCTGCGGCAGCATCCATAGATGCGGTGTGGTGGGCAAGGAGCTCAATATGCTTCTGGGTGACACCTCGGGCCTTATCCACAGCCTTTGCGCTCTTGGAAGCACCGCCGGCAAGCTCCTTCGACTTAGCCTTGATCTCCTTATGAAGGCGCTCCAAGGTTGGAGACACAGTCCCCTTCAGATTCTTCTCCGTCTCGAGGTACATATTCACCATTCCCTGTCAATGTATTAAAAATGAGAGTAAAATTGGGAAAGGCGCAACGGATTATACCTGAGTATTAGCGCGGATGTTCTCAAACATGGAAGCCACTCCACCAGTGTTTTGAGAAAAGTGGTGACCTTCCTTCAGCGGTTCACTGACGGTCTATTGCGGCAAACACTGTTAACTTACTCTGGACGTATAGGTAGATCGATGAATGATTGAAAGGGCGCCTACACACCTTGAGGACTTTTTCATAGTCCTTCGAATGTGACTTCTGTACCTTCGAAGTCACAGTAACATAGTCCTCCAGATAACCACACATATGCTTCAAAGCGCGCAAACGCTCGTTAAGCAGGTTCGTAGTCTACCAAAACTTATACGTTAATATTGTCCACGGATAGAATGACCGTAAGGCATATCTAGGTGTACCTCGCTGCTGTCAGAATCCGGAATGGCCTCATCATCACTCATGGAGGCTCGGCGGGTCGGAGCAATGGAACTCGTGAGGGTTGACGACCGGTGAGGGAGCTTTTGCTCCACGGGACTGGTTGGGGTAGACATGGTGGTGGGGTGAATGTGCGATGCGCGATGTCTGCAGAAGTTGTGCGACAGAACAATCCCGGATAAATAATGGAAGTAACGATCGCTGTGAAGGGAGCCGGAAACCGCCAATGAATTAAGTCGGGGCTATAGTTACCGTTATTCGTCAGTGGCTCCATTTTCGATTTCGTGAACGTGAGGGGGAGAAGTGGGTCACGGATAATCCGCACAAGTGAAGAAAGTGGGAGATTGAAATGTTAAACACTTACCAAGTCCAGGGAATCGAACTGGAGTGAAACCGGGTTTGGGTCGCCAGGATATCCCGTGGAGAAGGAAGAGAAGGAACAAAAGAAAGGGGGAGGATGTCAAGGACTTATTAGGTGGAAGAAAAACGACGGTTGCCAACGATGAAGTCACCGACCGCTTCCTTAGCGTTTTTTACCCCTCAGCTCAATCTTCTCACAATCTAGTCCGCCCAAGCGGTGGGATTGCGTATCCCAGGAACACAAGTCACATCACGGGAGCTTTTTTGGTTCCCTGAAATTCTAATTACCTTGTTTTGACCCAATTGACCCGATTAGAACTCTTGATCTCCTCGTCCCTTTCTATCATGATAATACTCTCTCGAATGTCTAGGGTATGCCCATACAGGCTGGAAGAACAGTCAGTCCACACAATTGGAAACTATATCACACGGTAACTACGCAGATCCAACAAATGGAAATTGCCTAAGATCCGGATACTCGAACGACGCCGATGTGTACAGTGTGGCTCGAACGGTCTTCATGGATCGAACTATCCTGAAACAGACAAAGCGCCAATGCTCAGCCACAGTCCGGTGGCGAGAGCTGAAGAGCTATTGGGACCTTTTGCATGAGTCTCCACTCCAATCAACGCATGACATGATCGGGGAAAAAAATATTCTCCAGGATACAGTAAATCTTGAGTTCAGCTGTGTTCAGGTTCGAAAGGGTGGATATATTGTACCGTTATAACTCTAATGCTATCCTGCAAATATCGAGAGGGAAATAATAAGTATCAAGTGTTTGAAAAAAGTCGCCATAACTCATGCTTGTCATCGGCCTGAGCCGCCGTCCCATACCCTGTAAACCCAACCCATCGATCTAGTATAAACGCCAGTGAACAAATCCGTACCATCCCACATCTATAGATATATGAATAATAAAGACAAAACACCCAGGAGCACCCAACACCCAATCTAATATAGATACAAAACGAAGTGAGGTACATGCTTTTCTTCTATCGTGAAATTAGGAGAGTCTCTGAATATAGCACCTCTCAGCGTCCAGCGCCAACAGTACCGTAGTCATCATGAATGCGCATGACCGGAGAGTTCCAAGTTCCCCTCCGCTATGCAGGTGGAGTGGCCTCTATCCTGAATCTAGACTCGGGCCCGGGCCTGAACGAGTCGCAGTCTTCGGTCCTCATCATCGTGACTCGTGGAACGAGAGTGACCAAGGCCCGACCGATGATGAAGAATTTCCAGGGAAGAGAAAAGTTGACCAGGTCCGCGCCCGACGTTTCGGATATGAGCTTGCTGGGGTGACTGGAGAGGTGGCGGAACGGGAATATCTTCCGCAACGACGGCATCATAATCTGGCAACTCAGAATCATGGGGACGGACAGTGGTACGGACTGCTGTCGAATAACTGGGAACACGGCTCAAAGTCTCCACCTCCGCATACTGTGGATGGAACGGCGTGGCCATTCCAGATGGAACATGCTCATGGTCAACTTCATCAGAGGGTCGTCGCGAGAGCACCGGGCTCGAAGGGCTGTGAGAGTTAGAACCTGATGATGGTCCAAAGTAATCTGCAGGAACACCTAGACGCCGGTGTTCGCTGTCGTTCTGGGGCTCATGATCGGTGGGCGACGGCTGATGGGGTCGAGTGATATTGAGGTTTGAGAGATTTGATAGACGGCTGTGTAGCGCAGAAGCGGAGATGTCGGTGTTCGTCAAAGCATTCATAGAAGCGAGGTTCTCAGCAGAGAGATTGCGACTTAGAGTGCCAAATGGTGTACCGGGGCCACTTCCAGGTCCCGGGGTACGGTAACCATTAGGGTCAAGCTCGCTATACAACTGGTCAAACTGATGCTCGCCGTACAACGGGGGTGCCTGTTGAGCAATATCGTTGATTGCCCGTTGAGCGGATTGCGGAGTCTGGTCAATTAGGTTATTGTTCTCATCGATCGCAAGGTTTGGAGAAATAAATATTGAGACTGGAAGCGTAGCACGCAGCTGCAATAAACAGTCAGAAACGGTCATTATCGCGAATGAGGGGGGGGAATGTCATACCTCGCTAATGTGACCATCTGGATTCATCAATTGAACGCGGAACTTCAGCTTATGCCTGACCTTGATACCCTTCGTATCTGTATCTTGCAGACACCGTGTCAAAGTTTTAGGGAGATCCAAATAACGCGAGAATTGATAGCCCTCTGCTACTTCATCGATAATTTCCAAGGCATTATCGTGATCCAACTCAAACTCGTCGTTCAAGATAGTTCGCGTGTTCTTGTATGTGTTGCGAACTGTGTCAGGATCTTCAGGGTTGAGGGTGAGATCATGGCTCTCGATAAGTTGAGAGACAATCTGTCCGATTGAGAGGCCTTTGAGTAGTGGGATAAGTTTGAAGTCAATTCGGATGCTGGTTCCAAAAATAACCGCTTTTGTTGGTGTGCTTATCGAGTACTCGATCTTGTTGGGCCAAATATTCTCCACCGACTAGAAAACGAAGGTTAGCAATTCCATATAGGATGATGCGCGAGAGAAGCATCGCTCACCATAGCATGAGAAAGCTCGAGAGCACTAGGTTCCAATGTCCGAATGATACGCAATGGCTTCCGGACAACAATATCCTTCGCATATTTGCGACCTATTTCGGCTTTGAATCGGTAGGTGATATAGGTATCGCTGAGACCCTCGATACTTTCGGGCATATTACCCTCTAAGACGAGATTGAAAGGATATTCATAGTTGTCAGCAGGCAAAATTTCCGTTTTACCTTTGCCTGGATCTCTGAATTTCCATGTCTTTTCATAGATCACGCGCTCTCTCCACGATTTCCTACCACCACCAGCAGAACTAGACGGCAGATGCCAGCTAAATGCATTGGTCAGTTACCGGAATCCTCCCGAGGAACCCGGAAAACACCACGTACCAAACTCGCGATATACCAGTGAGGTGAAGCCGGATATGCTTTATCGACAACGGCTCTGATAAACAAAGAAGAAGCTTTCCACTCAAGTGTGCACTGGCAGCCTCTTGTTCTCCACCGCGAAAAACAATATAATCTTCATCAAGACTGTAGCAAGAAAACGAGATGTGTTAGTCAATTCCGACATGGAACTCGGGTTTCCGGAAACGTCTGCGGCGGGATGTAACGCACCGGATATCGAAGTACTTCGCATGACTTGCACTGCCCCCACCACTGAAAAAACTTAGGGCCATGGCGTTTCTACTAACAGCCGCGAATAAGCAGCTGCCAGGAGATGAGTTAAAAAATCAAAAGGAAACTCGAAATGCAGGTGATTGAAAAATAAGAAAAGGAGAAGAAGCCTGGGAGGGTTGAAAAGAAAAGCACCCAGGGAGCCGGTTGGTTAAAAAAAAAAAAAAAAAAGAAAAAACTATGACACAAGATAACAGAAAGTTTTTCTTTTGGTGCAATTAGTATGGAGCCTGCGACTGATCGCCGGTCACTGTCCAGATTTACAGGCAAACCGGGTCACCAACGGGTCCCACCAAGAAGAGATAAATTGTTCGACAGTGGGGGGCACAGGAGCCGTTTCCGTCACCCTCGAAAAATTGGGCTTCGGAGTATCCTCTTTTGGCCCGGAGTGGCGACTGAAATGAGTATTTAGGTTGGGAGATGATGCGATCTTTTGAGCCGGGGTGACTAAGCTATAAAGATAGAAAGAGCACAGTAGGATAGATGAGAGATGGAGAGGAGATTGTGTGCTAGAATTCAACGACGGTCAGTTTTTACTGGGATAAAATGATTGACAATCAAATTTATGTAAGAGATAGAAAGAGAAGGGCAGTCTGTATCAAGAGAATATATTTAAAGCATCGCGCGGGACCAAATGAAAGAGTGTTTGCTAGTATAGAGACAGTATGTTATAGCAGATAAGTTGGAAGGAACTAAAGGCAGGAACAAGGGAGCCCGGACAGGCGGTAAGGCAAATACGTTACATCACCAAACATACCGGAGAATTTGTGGTGGACACAGGATCCCAGTTGTCATTGATACCTGGTAAGGGATGGTATGAGACTGATACGTTCGGGACAGGCTTTTTCCAAGGTAAAGGCTGATAAAAACTAGAAGTTAGGCGAGATAGCCAGCGGTATTTATTTAGATGGTCTTTGGTGCTCCTATCTCCTGCAAGTCATTAGCATGAAAGATTATGACTCTTGCACTTTCTGGGATCGCCGGGCTTTTAGTACCAAGACTCGGAAGGTTATCCTCATGCTAGTAAGATCGGCCGTAGGGCGGCAGTCGGCTTAGCCGGCGTGGGCGACGTATCACAAGGGAAACCCTTCGGGAACAACTATAGGAGGAATAATCGGAGATGCGCTTGCATGATTTTGCTTTTTAATTTAATTTCCCATGTCCCGCAGGTACCTACATACAAGTATTACCAATAAGTTTCATCAGGCTATCATCAGCGGCAGTAGGAATTCACACCCCTACAGCGGGTAGCATGCAGCATGCAGGGTGTGTGCTACACAGCATCTGCCGAGTAATCTAGTACGACTACTACCTTTTCAGCTTCAGAGCTATAGTGGGATGATATTCGTCATGGCGCTCATATGTGTGATCACACCCACTTGACAATCTGCTCATCACTGCCTAAACTCTATAAATGAGGTACTTTTGCAGAGCAATCTTCATGTGGAAATTGATATCCGATTAAACTTGAACACGCTACGACTGCGGATTTGCGGTGGCCTGATATTCCGCTACCCGACCATAGCACAGTTGTCAGTGACTCCGGGCGACACCGATAAGAGACTATGAAAATATATCCTGCACTGAAGGTAAAAATTAGGGCTTTGGTTTTTTTTTTTTTTTTTTTTTTTTTTTTTTTTTTTTTTTTTTTTTTTTTTTTTTTTAAAAAAATTTTTTTTTTTTTTTTTTTTTTTTTTGTTTTTCTGAGACAAATTAGATAAATAAACAAAAAAAAAATAAATAGATAGATAGGTAAAACATACCAACTTTACGCTTTGTTCTCCATTGTAGCACAGGAAGAAGCTCATAAAGTGGAAGCTAAGCTCAGCTCGCTCGAACCAAGATTTGTGGACATGAGAACCTATCTTGGTACAACTACATTTGGGTTTTGTCGCTCCACCAGGAGAATTCTAGGCCAGTCGACACATCATGGATCTTCTTGACAAAGAGCTCATTCAATTTGACACATTCTCGAAAATCCAATGATTAATCTTAGAATCATCGATTTTTCAAAAATAGTAGTTCTGTATTACACAGTGTCTCGGACAATCAAAGTTGGTGCTCACGTAATGATTTGTATAAATCGTGGATTATGTTCATTCACAAGCATCATCACAGTCATAATTGTCGGGTTCGAGGTAGAACGAGGCGATTAAACTCAATATTCCCTGTAGCCTGTGTCAGTGTCACCGAGGCTGTGCATATGCCTCGTACAGCATAATCACAGACAGCTCATGACACCGGAAGTTAGAAACCATGTGCGAGTATGACAGTTGTTTGTGAAAGCATGTTCTACGGAGCATACGGAGGTATTGTGAAGGTATGTTCTACGGAGGATACGGAGGTATTGTGATCCACGTGTCATGCCTATTGCGCGATATTCAGAAACCTCCGCATCCACTCATAAAGAAGTTCTGAAAACTGCAGAATACAAATAAGGTAATTACCTACACCAAGTAGTACTACTACTAGTACTCTAGTAAGTGACGTGAACCTTATATTACAGGGGACTGAAATTCGACTGAAGAATAGGTGCCAAAAAGGTAGGCCGGGCAGTCTCGGGAGGCCTTTCGCATGTGATCGGGAAATCTCGCACTTCCATGGGCAGCGCAACCCGATTCTTCAATACAATTACTGGTAATCGAATACCCACTGTAACCCGTCATCATCCAATATGTCTACCTCGGATCCTCGGTGCCAACATTCTCTGGAAAACAACAAAGTCATTAAAAACGAAAGTTATTCTCCAGGTTCCTACAATGGTAACACATCACGTTTGTAATGTTGATTACGGTCTCGTAATGGTGACGCGGATCGAAAAAAGAAGCTCTCGGGCCGCTGTTCTTCGAACACTTACCCAATAGCCTAGACCCCTCGAAAGGGATCGTCTTGACGCAAGCCATGATATCACGGTTGAGCTGACGTCGCAAGAGACTGTCTACCAGTTTAAAATATTTCTTTGATTAATTTGTTATCCTTGTTCGTGTTCCACACCTACACAAGGATGGCAGGCAAAGAGATCTGCTATCAAAAGGTTTGCACCTTCCCAAAGTGAACATGTCGTCGATCATCAGGCAACGTACTGTCCAGGATTAGATTCGGTGAGCCACGTTCCAGAACAGAGAAATTCCCAGGGTCGACTTGCAGATTTAAGCGGTGATCACATCGTCTAAGCCAGCAAAGCTAGTGGTGTGGGTCGCATCAGAACGCTAATCACGCACTAAAAATTGTCACAGATAACTCTCTCAATCAGGAAGGCACAGCGTACTGACTATCAGGGTATGGCTTGCGAGCAGCTTGAAGTTTGGCGTCACTACCCTCATGAACCTCTTAGAGACTAATTCTTTCTTGGAAGCATGTGCAAAAAGAACCCAACCAGTAACATGAATTATTCTTTTCTTACGAACTCAGGCATGTGGCAATTCTTCTCATCGCTATCGGACTTATTACGGGGAAATGGCCATTCGGGTTGTTGTTACAATGCAGCCAAGTAGCCACCACAGTTTGTTTCATGATTTGTACTACTATAGGTCGACGAAGATCTTCGGAGTACACAATGCCGACGGCTTCGTCAAGGCGAAGTCCATCGGCATGCCGAGCAAATTTTCTGGGACAACCTGGGCGACTCGGTGTCTCTATCCGGCATAGTCATGCCAAGTCGTAAAAAGAACCCGAATCTGATATCAAGAGTGTTGCATCGCAGGGCCGCCACTTTGACTCACGAACAGAGCTGGAAAGCTATTGGAAAATGAGCCCGGTGAAAATCGCTCAGACAAATGTCTACCGTTGCAGTCAATTTCTTTAAGACATACGAACTAGGTACCCCACTACCGCTATCATGAAACAAAGAGTAACGGCATTCATGACTCGCCCTTGCCAAGCAGATTTACCAGGCACAGGAATATAGATAGGCTCCATGTTGATATCCACTTTCTCGGAGCTGCCCGTCTGCCCGTCATTTGCTGCCGTTGAGGAAATTTTTGACCGCTACCTTGAGGCTAGAAAAAGTTTACTGCTATCTATGGGGGCTTTGTTTCCGCAGTGGACGGTTGCCGATGGTTCCACCCGAGATAATAATATCAATCAGGTAACCATATCCCCTACCAACGAAGTACTCTAATATGATTGGAACTTTGACCATGGCGCAATTTCCCCTATCTACTAGGTGCCGATTGCGACATGGCGTCGGGCGAGGAGAAGCAAAGCCAATGATGATTTTCCCTTAGCACACGTTGGCACACGTTTATTCTTTTACCCGAACTTTGATTTTTTGCCCGAACAATAAGAGCAAGAATATTAATCGCACGATGCATAGATCTCTCTACCCTTATCTATACCGCGTGCGCATATAATGAGTGCCGCCACATTTTAACGTTCAAGCACGGCATGGCTGTATTCAATAACTAATATCAGGATGACTGGAAGCTTAGCCCTATGGTCACAGAGATGCATATCTTCTCCCTATGGAAATAAGCCGAGGCGCAATTTCAAGGTCTCTTGGGGACGTATATGACCATCGTCATCGTACTATATGTACCTGGAAGTCTTTCAAGGCCACAATCAAGCTTCAGTAAAGGATAAATTGTCAAAGTAATCACATTGACAGAACCTAAGCTCGTACGCCAAGAACCGACATGGCAGCCGTACTGTCTATCCCACACTAAGTACTTGAAACTCAAGGGAATTATATTTTGCCGGGAATTTCTATAGTTGTAATCACCTTGAAGATCAATTATAAGAATTTTCCGGGATCAATGCTCATGGCACCGCCAAGCGACCAGTTCTTCGTTAGTGGCTGAGACACAATATGTCCACGTCACAGGTCAAATATAGAATACCTTGTTGAAATACCTTCCATATCAATCTCGGTCCATGGGCCCCCTCAAGCGCTCTAATGTGACAACGTCTTGCTGCACTGAACGCGCAATATCCCAAGCCACTGCTTCCCGCCCTTGCCACCGAAAACCAACGCTGCAAGATTCGACCAAAAGCATCATATTAATATCTCATAGTGACCGGGATCATGAAATTGCTCTCTATACGTATATGCCAATCCCAGGTTCATTGTGAGGTATTTAGAACCAAGTCGCCGCCGGAGTCCGCAGTGGTGATCATCACAATTGGGTTATACCTCGAAACATGGACTATGAAGCTTAGTATGTGCCAACCCTTAATCAATCTCGCACACGCCATCTGTCTGTAGATTTGAGATAAAATCGAAGAAGCATAACCAATAGGGTATTTGCCGTATAGGCTAAAATCTACACCATCAAATGCAAGACCGTTGAATCAGCCTAGACTAGACTCTATCTACTTGCGAGGAGGTTACTGTATCCACTGATCAAATCTGGTGACCCCATTTCCTTTCTCCACCTCCATCTGCCAATCCCGGATAGTAGATACACAGCATAGCCCCGCTTTCTAGAGACGTACATCGAGGAACGAGAGAAGTATTGATACATTTATTGACAATGCTGTGGAACTGAAGTAAGAGATACATAAGTAATGAAATAGTGATCGAGAAACACAAGTATTCCTGCCTCGCTCCTGTTTGATCATATGTATATGATGGAAGTAGTGGTCACACGGCAGAAGACAACACGATGCATATGTAAAGGCGAGTTTGACAGCCATAAGAACACCTCACCACCGACCCCAAAAACAAAATATTAGAATCACGAGTATAACACAGCAGAATAAGAGCAAAGTCCTGGAAATTCAAGAAGGAAGACAACGTAGAGGCGTTAACAAGCACAACGCTCTAAAAGGACGACGATATAAATGGCACGAAGCACGCGGTATCAATTTCGAACCAGCAAGATGATCCACGGCATAGTGATTATTTTCGAGGGACTATATTGCGTATCGAAATGGGTGAAAGACAGGGATGATGGGGATAGACTCGATCGACTCAGAAAATCCATCCCAGTATCACCCATAATGCCAAACCGATAGCGATAACGATTCCGGCTACTTTCAAAACGGCGACGGTATCGCCTTGACGTGCCATGCGGGTCAAGCGGCTGGCGCTGCCTGTCAGGCTCGTTGACAGGGAAGAGAAGACCTGATTCTGTATTCGGCGTTAGTTAACTGTGGGTATTGGTCGTGTTGAGTGATGACGAGGATGGATGTGAAAATCAGTTGGAATCTGGTAGGGTGGCGGCATACCGAGTGGTCTAGAGTGTCTTGATCTCGAGCATTATCGTGAATATCGATGGTTACGGATTTGAGAGCCGAAACTTTCGACGACAGGGAGTTCAGGAGGGCGTTGTTTTGTCTGTATGTAAATTGTGAGTAGGTTGGTCCTTACAGCTGCATTTCTTGGGATGCCCCTGAGATGGTAGAAAGAAAAGGAGTGTCGTACTGCTCACGTTCGTAGGCGTCTCCCATCTTGTCCGATACGATTCCACTTTCTTGTAGGTTCAGAATGTGTACTGTCACTGCTCGGTTGGCTAGTGAATTAAATTTGAATGAGCTAGTATCGCTAAGAACTCGGACAGGTTGAGGAATATGGAGAGTCGTTTGACATACGTTGAGGCGAGGACTGAGTACAGCCACAGCAGGCCAGTAACGATGATGGTGAGGCTGGTGGGGAGATTAGATGCCCTTTGTCACGTGATATTATCTCCGCAACGCCTATATCTCCGAGAAAACTAACAAGACAGGACTCAGGTTCTAAATAAGATACGTAGTATATTCTATACAGTACCCTGGTCTTCATCATTCTAACTTGCGGAGTACCACCAAATCTACTATGTGCCATGCCGTCATGTACCAATCCAAGAGTAAATCAGTCCTCGGGCATTGCAAAGGGGACAAGGACAATCTCCTTGAACATGCAGCATGATAAGCTGTCGGTCCATTGAAACATCTGAACTGAAAGGATAGAAATGTATAATAGAGGTGTCAAAACAACCAGAAGTGAGAATGAATTGAGAACCCCAGACGCTATGCAAACAAATCAAGGAAAAATTGCCAATCCAAGGCAACATGATTTGCCAAGCACTATCTGGCATGACAAGATACCGCCAAGTGCAAGGCGTGTTATATAGGGATGGAACGGAACAGTATGTAAGTGTGTACACCGACAGCGGTGGAATCGTATGATTCCGTCACTGGGCATGCAGGATGGTTGCTGCCTTCGTCATCCTTTGAAGGCATGTACAAGAGACAATGAGGAAGGCGTGATCAGTATGAAATACTGTGGAGAGACGGGGGCCGACAAAGCAGGGGTATTTAAATGTGCTGCAGGAGAAATAAGAAAAAGGACAGGATACTCCTCTTTCCTGTCACCACATATCATCATCGTCATCATCTAGCTGGACATCATCACCGAATGTCGAGTTTCCATACTGATAATGTCCGGGACCGTAGGCATGCCCGTTTTCATAGCCATTTTTGCTACCACGTGTATGCTGTCGATAAGCATCATGGGAGTCATCACCATATTCATACATTTGGGGATCATCGTAGGAACTATCGCTGTAGTGCTGCATCTGGGCCTATACATGAGGTTAATGGCTGCATGGCTATAGAGAGTACATAACACTAACCTCTTGGTATTGCTGATATCCGGAATAATCGTCCTGTTGGTCCCTTGTCTTCTGATGTCTCTGCGATGCTGACGAAGCGAGCATTAGAGGATGCATTTGTTGTACCTTGGCCAAGTACGAATACATGAAGTTGCTGAGCAGAACTTGGGAGTACAACGCGCGTCGGGGATTCGCAAGCTTGATGTGGGCCATTCTGTAAATAGCTCGCTCTTCCAGAATGGTGAAACGGGTCCAAGGATAATCAACATCAGGTCGAAGTTCCCGTGGTGGCGGGTCAGGAGACAAGGTCCGAGATGAGCTTTTCTTATGATTGCTATCAGTGCTGCTCTTTTTCTTGCCACCTCCAAATAATGAAGAGAACAAGCCGGACTCCTTCTCTTTCTTCGACTCTCCCGAGGTCCTTCTAACATGGTCCTTTCGACGTTCCTCTTCCAATTTAGGGTCGAGCCGGTCCAATACAAGGCTTTCACGTCCACGTTGCCCTGAATCGTTAGAAGACGGGAGAGCATTTGCTGTTTCATGGACTTTATCAACCAGTTTGGCTTTTATCTTCTTAGCATCGCTCTCCTTGTCCTTTTTCTTTTCTTTATCCTTGTCCTTATCTTTTTCCTCGCTGCCTAACAGCCAGTGCCAGCTCGACTTGCGGGTACCTTCTGACTCCTTCTTGTCCTTCGATTTCTTCGGTTCCGGCTTGCGCTCCTCTGACAAGGTAGGAATAAACGAAAGACTATCTGTCCGGGTGCTATTGCCCGGTAGAGCCTGAGGACTGTTGGCGAAGTCACTAAGGGTACTCGCGCTGTCCCTGCTATGCATGCGGTTGTGTAGTGACCATTTGCTTGAACTTTGATCGTAATTACCTGATCCCTTCGCGGGCGAAGCCGAGGATGATGGGGAGTCCTGAGTTAATCCGCGCCCAGAAGTGGCACTTGGCAGTAAGGTAGGGGTCGTAGGTGCTGCGCTAGTTTCCGGCGGAGGAGTTTCGATGATTTCTGGAATTTTTTGTTCTGTAGGTGGAATGTTCAAAGTTGACCGCCCGTTTGAGCTGAGGCGCGAGTGCCACTGACGTGTCTGGGAGGATGTATTTGTCTTGCCCCCGGATTCCACCATTGAGGGCTCACTTGGCCGGTCGTTTCCAGACTGCAGCTGGTCCGAGACAGATTCAAGCGCGGAGCTGGTTGTTTCGTTAGACGGTGACGCTGCGGACTGAGCTGGTATCCCCGAGGCCTGATTTCGGGTTATGCTGGGAGTGGGATCGGTTGACACTCGAGCGAGACCAGAGGTCGCCTGCTCACCAAAGGAATTGGCAGTTGATGAGGCGCCCTCCTTCACATCGGAGGTTTTTGCGAATCGCTTGGAATAGGGGAGCTTTTCACCCTTCTTCAAACTTCCCGCCTTTCTGTATTGCGTCCTCGTGGATCGTCTAAGACTGTGACCCAGGGGCGCAGGTGGAAGGATTGGCCTGTCTTCGTCTGCCGTGATTCCGAGGTTCTGAATTTCATTTAACAATGTAACAGGACTCGTACTTCGCGGCTTAGAGTTATCTACCAAGGTCTCCAATTCTTGTAGATTAGGGGTCAGAGGATCCCTTCTCGACTGAGATCGTTTTCGCTCTAACCGTTCTGCGCCATCTGTATAGCCATGTGAATTGTCAATTTGTCTAGACAACATAGACTTTTTCCGCCTAAGACCTCCGGTTGACCCTTGGCGTTCCGGCCCTAGGGAGTTAAAGTCGCCAGATCTCCGCTTTATTTGTTCCGTCTTACTTTCGAGGAATGATTTGAACTCCTTGGGGGCTAATTCCGGATGCAGGCGTGCAGGAACCCAAAATAATCGAGCAGCGTCATTTTCGTCGGCGGAGGGGGAGGGTGGTACGGAGAAATCGGAGTTGAAGCTCGGAAGGTCGGGGTCGCCCGTGGCAGCTACATCCATGGACATTCGTCGGATGGCGGCTAGATTGTTAAGTTCTTGGGCCACAGCAGCAGGGTCAGACTCGTAGTCGATATCGTTGAGGGGGAAAGATGTGGTGGCGGTGTCTGTTGATCCAGGAGATGTGGTTGAGGTAGGTGATCCCGGACTGCTACTTTCCCTATTCAAAGAAGTGGCCCCATCAGTGGGCGGCCGGGACTGTCCGTTCACGGGATGATGATTGTTGACTGCATTTAAATGGTTCTGCAATTGTATCGACTGCGGTGAGGTAGGGGATGCAGCGCCGGCAAGATTCGGGGGAATTATTGAGATCGATTCGCTCAAAGGTGAGGAAATATAGCTGAGGCGCTGGGAGTTCCTTTTGTCGTAATCATCGTCGTACATATGACCAATGGCCTCCGTGACATGGTGACTCGGGTCACTAATCGACAGGTGGGACGCATGGCCTCTCCGCGTTGCGTATCCTCCGCCAGCCTCTGAGGGACTCGGTGTAGCCTACATGGTCAAAAATAAGTTAGTTCAGGTAGAGCTCTCATATGCAACCCGCAAGGTTCTGGATTGCCTGACAACCCAAGATCAGCCATACAACCTTGCCTTTAGACACAAATCTATGGCAAGGACGAAAAGAGTGGTTGGGTGGATTTCTTTCGGGGGTGGAAAAAAAAGGCTAGCGAACGGTAAGGGTCATGTCGACTAACGCACCTGCATGGGAGCGGTTTGACCGGAAACCTAGGAGGAAGACGACCCGAAATTGACGGAGGACCCAAGGGCGATAGGATACTCGCCTCGTGAAGAGGAGGTCACTGTACCACCAGGGCGAGAGAAACTTGAAAATAAAAGGGTGTTCATGGAATCATGGAAGCGGGGAAGAAGCGTTGACCGAGAGTAACAGTGTGTCGGGGGGTGAAGAAGATGCGGATAAGGGTTAGGCATCCGGCGGCCTTGGGGCTTGTCGCAGAGTTTCTAGAACAAAGAGGCGAGTTTGAGGGAGGTCGGAGAGAAGAAGGGGGGTATCGAGCCGACGTAAGAAGGAGGCTGAAGAAAGTTCTGGTGGTGAATGTTGGATCAACTGTAATCGGTTTGGGGAAATGGTGGATGAGGATGGGAATTAACAATTCGGGGGGTTGTTCAAGGAGAAAGCCGTTTGGTTGGTTGGCTGGACTTAGGACGGCTGGTTGGCGGGCGGCGAGGGAAAGCAGACTTGCAGTTGCTTCACTTCCACTTAGTTTGTGTGTAGGAACAACGGTTCGGTCCAGATTTAGAGTCAGGGATCGGGGGTTTAATGGTTATTACTCCATATTATACACTAACCCTCATACCCTTCAGATCTTTTTTTTTTTTTTGAAGGGGGGCAGGTCATTTGCTTTTTTTTTTTTTTTTTTTTTTTCTTATGCCTTTCTGTTTGAGCTAGGTCACACCGTGGTGATTTTCGTCTATAGGTGCAAAAAAGAATAGATTTATTGATTTGATCAAGTCGAATTGGGAGAGTCAGTAGGTATATTATCTCTTATTATAATCACACCCTTGACTTTCAACCACAGCGCTTAGTCACATTTCTTTGCTCCACTGTTTTCAATGGGACGATCAGAGTGGCCCTGTCTGGCCGATAGGCGATCGTTGATCAGCATGTCCCCCGTGCCTGATAACTAGTAATAGGATTCGATTTCCGAATGGATCTGTTTTCAATTTGATTCAAACTATTGTTCTCGAGAATGGAATTCTGATGTTTGATCTTTCTCGCTGCGTCCGTTCATTCTTAGTAATTCTGGTTAAATCCGTTCGATGTGGGAGCGTCTCTCACGTGTCCCCTAGCAAAAGTATATAAAATCCGCAACTTAATCCAACCTCTGATGTCCACCCGCGCAGCCAAGCCACAACGATGTGTATGCTAATGAGCATGAACCTTCATTCCTCGTTGGTTCCGGACATGCTGACTAGTGGTGAGGTCTCCTGTCTGCCTCCTCTTAGATAGTATATCCTTATTTCCTTCTTTTAAATTTTCTCTTGGCTCTCCTAGGAACATGTCATTCATCTTCGACCGTGATCACCTCTGATATTCTGATACGGGACTACCATGATACATACATACATACATATATGTATTGAAGATTTCTCTTCTAACAGTTTCCTCCTGCCATGTAAGGAGATCAATGAACCTCACTGTTTCCGTGACAAGAATGATTGGACACCTGATCAAATTTATGCGCTCGCAAACCTCTAATTACTAGTCACTAGTAGTATTTTATTGCCCTGAAAGCTCATTTGTTCTCTGGGAACAGTTCCGTAGCCGTCCACCAACAAGCCATCATCGGGAATGTTGCCATGCCTTTCTCAGCCTTGTTGGCCTCTGACAACCGAGAAAAGCATTAACTAGCCACCTCTTTACATTTTACTAGTATTACTTGGCGGGTCTCGTGCTTCGAGTCCAGGATTATCATTGGCTGATAGCGTCTGATGACTTCGGAGGGATTGATGGGTGACAGGCCTGCCCCGTGGATAATACATAGGCGTGAGGTACGGTTGGAATGCGATATCGCTTAACCTGTCTAAACTATCCCTAGGAATATACACGCACGTTTTGCGCAAAAGGTCCGCTGAGGACTTTCGCCCTGTCGGTGACGACTCTCTATGGTCACAAGTGGGCAGTCCCTTCTTTGTTTCATCCCTTCCTTTGAAGGAAGCCAATCAACTGGACACTGCGCAGCTAACTTTCACAAGCGAGAAGAGGAGAGAATCAAAAGGAGAACCGAAACAAGATGATGTAATCCATGAATGACATAAACAGTGCAGAGGGGAAATTCTCATTCTAAAACCAAACCAAATCCACCCTTCTTTGAAATGCATGCGCGAGAATAATGGAAACTATCAACACCACGGAAAAGAAAAAAGGAACATGGAACGATAAAAAAAAATAGAAAAATAAAAAAACGAAAACGAAATAGAAAAGAATACAGACAGACAGAAAAGTTCGGCAAAATCCAGATATACAAAACATCCCTGAGGTTTCCTCCTCATGGGTTAATCCCGGACACGCTGGTCAAGCCACTTCGCATAATGACGACACTATCGCTTACACTAGAAAGCTGAAACATGAATTTCCGGATCAGATTGGGTATGGTACTTCCTGCAATATGGACCGAAACGCTTTCGGTTCGATTGTGAATCATGAATAGACGAAAGGACTCTTGGAAGAAAAGAGGGCTTGATTTCTTGGTTCATTAGAATTCGTTCCGCATTAGCCAGGGGTTGGCAGTAAGGTTTCTAGGCCGTGTCGACATAGTTCCTAAGAACAGATGATTAGTCCAAAGATCTAAGCTAATTGGGAAGAAAACGTTTCCTTACGCAGGGAAGATGCCAACCCGATCTCCGATGCGCCCCGTCCACCAGTCTTCCTTCTTCTCGGTGCGTTTAACGATCGTAATGATGTCGCCTTTCTTGAATCCCAGATCTCCTTCTTGATCGGCATCGAAGGTGTAAAGGGCAATCGCCTGGTCTTGGCGCAGAGAAGGGGCTTGTCCTGTCCGTTGCCCGAAAACAGGCTTGGGTGCCGTGGGTCGGCTGGGCTTGTTGTCAGAATAAACATAGTCCTCCTCGAACGGTGCTGTGTTACTTCGGCTGCGGCTGTATGTGTCTAAGGTATCATTGCGAGGGCTACGGGTGGTCGATGAGCGGCTCAGGCTCCCGGCAGGCCGGTCGTATATATCATCGGCCCATGTGTTTGCGCGGCGGGGTCGGTCTCGGTACTCGTAGGTATCCACATCATTGGAACCTGTGCGGTCATGCCGGAGACCCTGTCCGTACGCATCTCCCCGTCGTCCTTCCCACACCACATCATCATGATGGTCGTCGTAAACAGGTATATCATTGTACATCGCATCCCCGTTTCTCCCGTTGCCATAAAATGCGCGGGAATTTAGCACACGCATAAGGGGATCCGCGCTTGGGGGCGGTCTAATAGTCCCACTCAGTAACTGCCGGGCTGACACTCGGCTGTTGTAGAGTTTCTCGTTCGCATCCTTCCGTTCCACTAGCATGCTTCCCTCCAAGCTGATACCTGCGAAGAGACCCTTCGTCTTGGAGTAAGAGAAGACTGCGGCCACGCCCTTTGTGCTTGCCGCTCCGGCAGCCTCTGCATTGCGTCCTACCGGTCCTGCGGCGAGCGAAACATTACCGCCAAGAGTTAGAGTTCCTACTTGAGAAAACGTTCGGACAGCGGCGGCATCGTTGAGAATGAAGACGAAATCAGTCAATTCGAATCCAATCTGACCTCCGAACCCGGCACCTGCGGTTGCGATAGCCGAGGGAGCAGACCAGGATCCATCCGCCAAGCGGGCAACAACAACGCCCGATCCAAATCGAGCGGAGCCCAGGAAACCAGCCTTGAGAACGGTGAGGATCGCAAGCCCCTAGCAAACCAGTGGTCAGTTCCCGACGCTACTTTCTTTGTATTCACAGGCTGTGACTTAGTGTTTGCGAAATTGTTCTTTACCTTAGCACCTGCTAGGATTTCAGGAGGAATGATCTTATCAGGACCAAAAGCTTGCCGAGGGTCGATAAACGAGGCAAGGATTTTACCAGCCTTTCTACACTCGCCTGTTGTGCAGAAACAGCGTTAGTATAGTATTCTTCAGGCCCCCTCTATCAGAAGTGCGGGGAAACTTGGGCGGGTAGTGAAATGAAACATACTATTCAAAGACGAAGGCAAGGGATTATGAATCCCGAGAGGCATTTTTGACTGTGCTCGCTAGGGCCTGAAGGGTAGAGGTGGCAGGAGAATTGGAGGAGGTTCTAGGAGATTGGGCCGGAGAAGTTGATAACAGGATATTCTGCGGAGTCCGTTCGCCGTTCGGATGGGGAGACGACCGAGAGGTGGATCTGACTAAGTGACAGGTTCACGGTTAACTAAATAAGGTCGAGATTCCCGCAGTTCGGTTGTAATTAAGTGGTGGGATTACAACTAAGATAAACCACCGCAGCGAAGAATCGACGAAGAAGTGACTTCTTCAAAATTCTTACATTAGAAGATGGTGAATTTCTTTTCAGGTTAATCAACTACTAGTAGTATCCATAGCTCAAGTGATCAATAGCGCAAGTTCCGCAAGCAGCCTGCTGCGGCATGTTTCGATTTGTAACTGAGTGTGGCTGGGTCCTTCTGTCAGCTTCTCTTCGATGTTGGTAAACGTAAACCTCAGATTGTAGCACCAAAACAATTAATCGTCTCCTACAGTCACGATATGATAGAATCTATTCCTTTCTTAACGAACCGCGAAACAAGATACCTTGTCGTCACTTTCACGTAGTACATCAATAGTTGATTCCAGCGAACTGTTGAAACCTGAGGCTGCAAGACGGCACAGCCACCGCCTAACCTCCGAGGGATCACTGCAATGGCAACTGAATACCGAAAGAGCTTTGTCCAACCATTCGAGTCTACGTTTTCCGATTACGGTCCTACAGTGACGTTTTATGGAGAATGCATCTGGCAATGATTTGAAAAAAGTATTTTCAACCGCCTTCCTTTGTTAAAGATGGCTACAGGTGCGAAGATATTGTCAAGAACACTAGTTGGGGTCACAGGCGACACTGACGCTTTCCAGTGCGAATTTGTGTTTGCGGAGATGAGGGCACTGGAAAGTCCAGTCTCATCACATCGCTTGTGAAAGGGGTCTTTGTGACAAACAAGATTCAGCCAATCTTGCCCCAGATCACGATTCCTCCCACGATCGGAACCCCCGAGAATGTCACGACAACTACAGTGGTGGACACTTCCGCTCTCCCTCAAGAGCGGAGTAACCTGGCAAGGGAGATCCGGAAATCAAACGTGATTTTGCTTGTATATTCAGATCATTACAGTTATGAACGAGTGGCACTATTTTGGCTTCCATACTTTCGCTCTTTGGGAGTCAATGTACCCGTGGTATTGTGCGCCAACAAGTCCGATCTCGCCGCGGATCATAGTGAAGCACAAGTTATCGAGGAAGAGATGTTACCGTTGATGGCAGAATTCAAGGAAATCGACTCATGCATTCGGACAAGCGCGCGAGAACACCGCAATGTGAACGAGGCTTTCTTTCTCTGTCAAAAGGCGGTCACTCACCCAATTGCGCCCTTATTCGACTCCAAGGAGTCGGCTCTCAAACCGGCTGCTGTCGCGGCATTGCAACGGATTTTCTACCTCAGTGACAAGGACCGTGATGGCTATTTATCTGATAAGGAGCTCGAGGACTTCCAGATGAGATGTTTCGAAAAACCATTGAGTGAGGAAGACTTGGTGCATATAAAGGAAACCATCCAGAAGACACATCCAACCTCAGTGACCCCTTCTGGTATTGATTGCCGGGGTTTTATACATCTTAACAAGATGTATGCGGAGAAAGGGCGCCATGAAACCGTTTGGATCATACTGCGGGCTTTCCAGTACACTGACAATCTCTCGCTTCAAGAAAGCTTTCTCCATCCCAGATTTGAGGTTCCACCATATGCGTCTGCCGAGCTTTCCCCTGAAGGATATCGGTTTTTCGTGAATCTATTCCTCCTTTCGGACAAGGATAACGACGGTGGATTGAACGATGCCGAATTGGCGTCGTTATTTGCGCCAACCCCGGGCTTACCCGCTTCATGGGCAGACGGCTCATTCCCATCTTCTACTGTTCGGAATGAAGTTGGTCATGTTACACTTCAGGGCTGGCTTGCGCAATGGAGTATGACTACATTTACATCGCCAAAAACGACCTTAGAGTACCTGGCATATCTTGGATTTGAATCATCCGACAGAAGCAATCCTTCTACAACGGCTGCACTAAAAGTAACTCGGCCACGAAAGCGAAGAAAGCGCCCTGGGCGGGTGGGTCGTAATGTTGTACTCGGCCATGTCCTTGGGCCTCCTGGCTCAGGCAAGTCTGCGCTTCTCGACGCCTTCCTTGCGCGCGGCTTCAGCACTACATATCATCCTACAATTCAACCCCGCACTGCCGTCAACACAGTGGAACTGCCGGGGGGTAAACAATGCTACCTGATTTTGGATGAGTTGGGTGAGCTAGAGCCTGCCATACTGGAAAACCAGGTGAAGCTATTGGACCAGTGTGACGTGATTGTGTACACTTACGACTCCTCGGATCCCGATTCATTTGCGTATATCCCTGACCTGCGATCCAAATACCCTCACCTTGAGGAGCTTCCAAGCGTGTTTGTTGCTCTCAAGGCTGATCTCGATCGAACTACCCAACGGGCTGAGTATCAACCACACGAATATACTGCAATGTTAAATATGCCCAGCTCACCTCTCCATGTCAGTGTGACTTGGAGCTCAATGCAAGAGGTCTTTGTGCATATCGCTGAAGCAGCTATGGAACCTAGCACGGCGTTTCCACGGAGCGAGGAAGACGTTGAGGGTAAATGGATGGCTTGGGGAATTGCACTGGGCGCTGTTGTCTGTGCTGGAGCAGCCGCGGTAATGATTTGGCGACGGGTGAGTGGAAGTGGAACTTGAGGGTGATGTCCTTGTCTTTATGGTGCTGTATGCAAGATACCCAAGGCATTCGTTTAATCGGCGATGAATGAGCAGACAATTGGCTTTTTTGTGTTCAGGAGAAAAAGTTGCACCTGTAAATCGTCCGAATTATGGATATATTTCTTGTAGCATTATCATTGAGATTTTGTCCCTTTACCTTGGTCAAAGTGCCAAAGGGGAACGAACTTATTCTGGCAGCGCCGATCTGGGATCATTAGAAAGTTGTTGGTTAGGCTACGGTAGACAAAGCGGAGAACGATATGGAATACCGATAATTATTGGAACAGCAGTTGGGAAGCCCCACGGATCCGCCTCGTGCACACGAGAAAGCGGCCACCAACCCCAGAAAAGCTTCTCCTCACGAACGCTCTTTGGCCCTCCCCTCCTTTTGTCGCTCTCCGCTCTCCTCTTATCTACCCCTGAGGACTTCGTGTTTTCTCCATTTTGATAGAATAACCAGTCCTTTTTCCTGTTCCTCGGCCGTTGTTGAGTACCTGATCCCGATAGCTTCTCTACGTCCCCAGCTGCAGACGGAACTCCGATCGTTTCTCCGCCCATCGTTGCTAGGTTGAACTGCTGCTCACCACTCCCCGGTAGCCCCGGACACCTATCATCAATTGAGGATAGGCTTTAGAGGGTCCTGTTTTGTCTTTTTGGAATATTGTGCATGGTCTCATCGGTTCTTATTAACTAATTTCACGTCTCCAAATCACGCCACCTGGGGCAGCACCATTCGGGGTGCCGCTCTTGGGGGAGGATTCACCACAGAATTGCGTGACTAGCCTGTCACAGCTGTCATTGTCTCACAAGTGATTCATTTGTGTTAGCTGATTTGTGGTTATTAGCACGGTAGCAACCATGTTGTAAGGCTCACCCTCTTAAGGCCCATAATCTATGTTCACCCTTTTACCTGTTTCTCTGTTGAATGTGTTGATTGGTTGGCACATGGTTTGTTGCAGTTGCAGTTTAATTTAGCTTCGGTTTCACTCTGTTCCTCAGCTATTTAAGCTTTAGTTTTGTTGCGCTTCTCCTTAAATGACGGCATTGTTGCGACTTTTCTCTTGCTGACTTCGAACCAGCGTCCTACCCCCGCCTCCGCCTCGCTATACCGTACCGGTTGCGTACGCAGCTGGCGCGTCGAATGGCATGGCGGTTCCAGTCGTGGAGACCAACAACATAATCAGCCATCCGGAGGGCGGTTGTCCACTGCAGGTCGGAGAAGGTGTGTTTGCGACATGGCGCAAGGTCCCTCATGCGCATCGGAGCTCCAGTATTATCAAGCTTTGTATCATGCTAATGCTGGTTTTGCGATAGGGACTTATCGCCTCAAAGATGACCTGCACCTCGCAACCCCTCCTCCACATCCTTCGGAGGCCCCCGTCGTCAATCCGAACCCTCTTGCAACTGTTCCAACACCCCCAACATCCGGCGTCAAGCTGTCGCTTGTTAGTGTTGGCCAACGAAACAAGATCCCTGTGTTTACCTCGAATGTGAAGGTGACGGCGCCGCCATTCGCAGATGGCAACCCTGCTTTAGTGCCCGTTCCTACGAAGGATGGCTTAAAGAGACGGAAGCCCAAGAACAACATCATAAAGAGCAGTTCGTCATTTGTCTCACGGGTCATCACCCATGAGGCTTCTTCCAAACGACTCAACGATCGGAACCCTGATGGCCTGTTCGCCTTCGCTAATATCAATCGGGCATTCCAATGGTTGGATCTTAGCTCAAAGAATAAAGAGGAACCACTGGCGAAAATCCTCTTCACCAAAGCGCATATGTTGACGCATGATATCAATGAGCTAACGAAAAGTTCTTCTCATATCGACATTGTTATGGGCTCGTCGGCTGGCGACATAATTTGGTACGAGCCTATCTCCCAGAAGTATGCACGAATCAACAAGAATGGAGTTGTCAGCAATTCTCCAGTGACTCACATAAGATGGATTCCCGGATCAGAGAACATGTTCATGGCTGCGCATGCGAATGGACAATTGGTCGTATATGATAAGGAGAAGGAAGATGCGCTTTTCACTCCTGAACTTAGCAATCATTCGGCAGAGGCGATGAAAGCATCTAGTCGACTACCGTTACAGGTACTGAAATCCGTAAACTCCAGAAACCAGAAGACGAATCCCGTTGCGTTGTGGAAACTTGCCAATCAGAAAATCTCTCAGTTTGCCTTCTCGCCCGATCAAAGGCATCTGGCTGTGGTTCTAGAGGATGGATCGCTACGCGTGATGGACTATCTCAAGGAAGAGTATGTTTTACGGTCTTGGTGCTTTCTGCTCCGCTTCAGTTGGGGCAGATGGTGAGTGATGAGCGGCCAGCTAACAAAGTGGATAGGGTCCTAGACATTTTCCGTAGTTACTATGGAGGCTTGATATGCGTTTGCTGGTCACCTGACGGCAAATACATTGTGACAGGTGGCCAAGATGATCTGGTTACCATATGGTCATTTCCGGAGCGCAAGATCGTCGCACGATGTCAAGGACACAATTCCTGGGTCTCTACCGTTGCATTCGACCCATGGCGTTGTGACGAGAGGACATACCGGTTTGGGAGTGTTGGGGATGATTGCAGGCTGCTACTGTGGGATTTCAGTGTAGGCATGCTGCATCGCCCTAGAGCTGTACGTCTACCCCTACGTAATCCTTCCTAGAGGCCCGTGATTAACTTATTACGCTATAATAGCATCAAGCTAGTGCTCGGCAGCGAACCAGTATGATTGCAAGCAATACACAGCATTTCAGCCGCCACAGAGCCGACAGTGCAAGCAACCGGATGAGGTCGGATTCTCAACGAACTGCAGACACTTATAATGAATATGACTCTGCAGTCCGTCATCCGGTAGAACCTAGGGCTCGGACAGCCCTATTACCACCTATAATGGTACGTTGTCACAATTCTCGCCATATCCTTTATCATTAGATTGTATATCAGACTGATGAGAACTAATCGGTGAATAGTCAAAAATCGTCGGGGATGACCCTATTTGTTGGTTGGGCTTCCAAGAAGACTCGATCATGACTTCTTCTCTTGAAGGTATGGATGCTTTTCGTATGCCACTTCAACATAACAGCAGCTGACACAGCAGAAGGTCACATTCGTACCTGGGATCGCCCTCGAGAAGGTATCAATGATAGTTACAACGGTAACACCTCGTCGCCCGCGATCAGCACCAGTGCCGCCGGGTCAGGCATAGCAGACTCGGTCATGGGCTCATTGTAGCCATTCTCTCCGGTTATGCGAGCCAATGTTGTCTGTATATATGTACACTTGTAACTAGATATACCCATTTGAACGTGACTTAGCTTCTTTGAATATCACCTAATAGTAGGGGCCACGGAAAACTAATTTAACAAGCTTTTATATCCAAAATATAGTATTACTGGTAATACTAGTAATAATAATAATAATAATAATAATAGAATAACCTGCTATGGTATATTTCCTCCACACTCGTTAGTTTAGATTTTAATTTTAATGTGAGTGTAACTGTACATTAGTACTTACTCCGTCTCGGAGTAGAGATCGGACTAAAACAGTACCGGTCGGACTACATCTAGTCCGATGCATAAGCCAGCTACTTGATCTTTCCTCCCATCCACCTTCTATTCTTTCCTCACATTCTTTCTTGCTCCCTTAATATTCTCGGGGGAAAGCTCTCTGTGAAATGGATCAAGTTGCGAAGGTCAATACATTAAGGAAGAATGGACGGTTAACCTCCTGTGAGCCGTGTCGTGTGTCGAAGATTAGATGTGATCATAGAAGGCCTACATGTAAAAGATGTGACAGCCGACGTCTCAGCAAGAAGGTGAGAATGATATCAAACTAGAAATGATGAATTTTCTGATGCAACCATAGTGCTACTATCATCCAGCTCCTATGACAAAGCTGAGCAAAGTCTCTGCAGGCGAGCCCGATGTGGCTCCTCGTACAAGAATCAACCAAGAGATCGATCATTCCCTTACCAGTGCCCTCACCGAGGTATCCACATTAAACTGTACCTACCTAGGGTCAACGAGCTTCTTGTCAGTTTTTCGTGAAACACAACCAGGCTTGTCTCCAAATCCCATACCGCATGCAGTCCTACAAGGGCGATGGAGCCATGAGCATACGTTCCTGGCATCGCGCCTGGCTTGGCTACTGTCTGCCTTTCAGCTCTACGAAGAATTGATTATAGGTCACTATGAGCGGACCCCGACTGCTATCATCCCATTGCAACTCATCCTACAGCCTCTTAAAATGGCCAGGACTTATTTGGAAACAAACGGCTGGGGTAAGGATCTGCAGCACGAAGAGATATATTCTAAGATTACACGGAATACAGCCAGGCCATTTCCTACTTTGCGTAGTTCCTCAAGCCCATGGGACTTTTACACTATGTTCACCGGTGCAAACTTGAGATGGGAATTCATCGGCATCATATTTGCCTTCGCAGGATTAGGTGCATTAAGTGGCGAAGGGAATCTGTTCAAGATCAATGGTCAAGGGTCGATGTCCGCCAATGTCTTTGCAGAAGAAATGACTGCAGCTAGTGCCATATGCATCGATATATGCAAGCAACTTGATAAAGTCAATGATTTGATGATATGGTTATATCTAACACATGGCGCGCTCGCCGCTGACTTTTTCGGAGAAACAAGTACTAAATTTATGGAATTGAGAGTTTTAGGCCAGAGCTAACACTTCGACTAGGCCATCGAAACTATGAGCTGCTTGGAGATCTGGTGTCTCATATTTATGCACTGGGTCTACATCGCTTTCAGTCATCCGAAAATGACGTTCCTTTCTTCATCTCTGAGACTCGAAAGAGGCTTTTCGTTACTTCATACCGTTGGGACAAGACTTTGGCTACCCTTCTGGGAAGGCCTCCTCGCCTTCCCTATCACTACTGCGAGACAAGTCTACCATTAGACATAGAAGATGACTTGATACTCGACCAAGACTCTTCTGAACCACTATTGCAGCAACTAGGGCCCGGCGGGTGGAATATCAAAGGCGTCAACAGTGGCACACTTCGCCATGCAACGCTACTTAGGCTGCGCTTTATGATATCCGTACTTCTTGAGCAAGTTTTAGAACTATCACTAGGACGAAGAACGCCAGATTTCACCGAGAAGCTCCGGTATAGCTGCAAGGACGTTTTCTGATATAGCCAATATTAACAGTTTAGTAGAACGACCTACGAGCAGTGCCTACAAATGTGGGCACAAATCCCCCAAGAATACCACTATAGTGCAGACTCCTGGGAGGTGCTAAGCCCCCAATCATGTGTCTCACTTATACTCGCACATTTCGAATACCTGTATACTGTGTTTCAAGTGGAGCGGATCCGCAGCCGCGAAAACCAGGACGATACGAAGGATCTCCTTGACACATCAATGAAGGTAATTTCTGCGGTAAACGATCTTATGAAACACCGCGAGCAGACAGGCAATAATATCCTTAAGCGTTTCTTCTGCATCGTGAGTTCTGCCTTGCCACCTGTCCAACCAATAGCTATCTAACCTCTACGCCGTAGCTTCTTTTCAATGCTCTTGCACCTGCAGGTGTCCTTGCTACAGAAATACATCGGTGCACTATCGCAGAAACCCCAGTACCCTGCTCTTCATCCCGCTCCGAGATCATCCGTAAACTAAGCGTCTTCGTCTCGTGGCTTGGTAGTGCTGATCCTTCCATAAGCCACACAAACCGAACCTGCGTGGATATCAACAAAGCCATAACAAAATTGCTAGATGATACTTTAAACTATCAGCCTTCGCGCCGATCTGCAAAGCAAATGCCAGACCCTATTCAGGGCCATGGACTATTTGGAGAAAGTTCTTCTGGCTCTGTGATGCCCTTGCCGAGTATTGAGGATTTACCAGACCTGGCGACTTTTGGCACTAGCGCTGACTTCCTCAGCTGGTTGGATGACCTAGGATTTGAAAATACTCTACCAGAGCTTCTGTTTTAAAGAATATTCCAGGCTGGATCTCTGAAGCTATATCCCAGCTTAAGATGGAAACTGGGACTGAGATCTATTGGGTACAATATGCTAAAACCCTGTTTGAACATATTACTCGTATATGATTTTGGTATGAAAAGCTCAATATATAAACTCAAATATGCCAGTCAATGCATGATACGCCGAGGGCCTCCCGAGTACCATAGAAAACTGCCAGCATCAAGTTCGTCATGTACGGTTTATCAATGGAGAAAGTGAATGGTCCTAAAAATCAGAGTTCGACATGTACATATATCGTATGTACATGCAAAGTCTAGTAAACTCTATGCGGCTGTATGCCTGCACGTAGAGTGCCGACCCCCCTTGCATACTTATTGCCTCTGCCATGAACATCACGTATGACATGTCCAATCCGAACAACGATAAGACTGAGAGATAAAAGAGATAGGCAAATAAAAATTAACTAACAATAATTCGAGAAGAATTAATAGCGACGCATATAAATTTTTTAAAAAAAAATAAAGTCCATTAATAGATTGCGTACATACATAAACATTTGTTATCTCATGAACCAAACAACTAGCGCATGATGAAAAGATAGACAGGAAAAGAAAATTGAAAAGAGCAAAAAGAAGTAATACTACCTCATAGCATCAATTCCAAGTTTATACACGTTCATGTTCTCCGAATCTGCGATTACAGCACCAGGGCGAAAAGACTGAGCATCAGTGAACCGGCGGCGGGGATCGTAAGTGCTGCAGAGCCGCCGGTCGACTCGGTCGGAGCAGCGGAGGTGCTCGAGGCGGATTTCGTGGCAGTAGAGGCTGTTGTTTGGGAACGGGCTGCGTCAGTAAAACCATATGGTTGCAAACCACGACGTACTCACCCTTGTTCATGGAGTTGGACGGGGCGACGGTGCTAGATGACGGAGAGCATGGCGCACGGGATGATGGTGAAGGTTTAGAGGTGCTGAGAGTGCTGTGGATGATGCAGGGACGGGAAGTGGTTCTTGTTTTGATTGTAGTGCTGGTGCTGGTGTGGGTGCATGATGATGTTTTGGTGATTTTAGTACTGAAATATTGCTTACATGGCTTGGGGGGGTCAGCGACAGCCGTCACATTGAAGATCTGCGACTGTGCCAAAATGCCGGTATTCATCTTCGAGTTGGATACGAAATTGAACTGGTAGCCCTCGCTAATTTGGGGGGTGGAGAATTAGTCTTCACGCTCAAAATTGAGAGGAGCATAGGAATTCTAGGTCCCGCTCGTAGGATGGACACACCCTGTCTCAATGTCCCAGATCTTGTCGACAGTGTATTTGCCGTCCGAGGTCTTGACGTCCTTGGCGATTTCTTTCTCGGAGCTTGTTTGGTTCTTGAGGACGATGTTGATTTGCTCGGGGTCCGAGCTATTAGGGGCAATCCAAGTTAGTGTTTCCATTGCTTCGCCCGTCGGTGTTGGTCCAACTGAGCACATACGGGACAGTGGTCCATTTGATGGTGTAAGGCTTGCTGAAGTCAACCTTGTCCCCATTCTGGGGGGAAGTGACAGTGACAGCTAGATTCCGGGATTAGAACGTTGCGTCTAAGTTGCAGAGGAAGTGACAAACACATACCGAGGGAAGAGGCCGCGTAGGCAACAATCGAAGCGATCTGGAAGAAACGCATTGTGGAGATATTAGGAGGCTGTAGTAAGTAGAAAAATATAAAGGGTATCACAAGGCAAGTGATGTAAATCAACCAAAGAAACTATAAGTATTTAGCGATTGAGTAAACAAATGATGAAGGCTGAAGGACAAAACGCCGACTTTATATAACGATTCTGGCACACCGCAAAGGAAGCCCGTGAGAAGGTCAATTACCAAATCTGACTTTGAGATTTGATCCCTCATTTTCCTCCTTCTCTCCTGTTGTCTCTTTTGGGGCTGACCGATAGGAGGAAAGCTTCACTATGTTGGGGCACGATGAGTGCAGCACGTCGCAAGCACAGACTAGGGTCCAGCGTGCGTTGGACTTGACGCGAGGGGCACAGGTGATCTGTCTTTCCCAACCTTCACTTTTTCCTATCTAGGGCGAACTCCAAGAGACATGAAGCTCTTGACACATACTATTGGTCTGTTTCCAATAGTGCCTGCAGCCGAAATTACTACTCTCTTTTTCCTTTCTATGCTTCTCTACGAAACAAGCTCAAGCCCCCATTGTCACTGCTCGGGTTCCGCGCTCGCAGGGATACGGCCCCTTCCAAGGAAGGGCATTAAATAGCTAATAACAGTCATAGGTTTGTACCCTGCTGATATTATAACGAGATTACAAGCTATAGAAGAACCCTGTCTTCTCCTTGCGATCGCCGGCCGGAGATTGAAACGAGCCAAACAACACGCCGAAGGAGACTTTGACGATCCTCGTGAGCCGTGTCGCTGGATCAAGTAGGAGGTTATCTATCTACATTTGATAATGCGAAAAGTTGCAGATCCCGCATTGTTGCAAGTGCTGAAAGAGTTTGCTATCAATGAAACCTGTTATACACTAGAAGTTTTACTCCGTATATGGTCACTAATCACTAATCACTGCAGCCAGAAATTTCGAACAAAACAACGCTGATAATTCAAAGATCACAATGACATTGGCTACTACTGTTCGACCGTTGCCTAGTCAAAAAAATAAATAAATAAAAACTCTGTATAACCCAGCCCTGTACATTCACCGCCGAATGGGATGTTCGGCGATGTACACTTGGCGCATTAAATGTTTCTATTTCCTACAACGGCAAGTCCACTTTCCAACATGTCATGAACGGTTCATTCTAAGTCTTGATAGCTAGGCTCATTGACTTTGGGTGGGTACCGAACGCATAAGACACACATCATCTGCAGCTAATGCCAATACGATATGTCAGATGTGATATCCCAACTTAGCGTCTGGCTATCGACTTTTAACCTTAGGGCTGTCCTTGGTTGAGATGCATATCGACTTAGAGCACGCCATCCAAGTCACCGCAACTTTTATCTCTACACGCTCTTCCAGATGCAATCCGGACGGGAAAAACTTGATGCTATTCTTAGTTGAAGAAAAGCGAGGTTTGCAGATCCTCTCGGCATCATTCTTACCAGGTTCTGCTGCATTTGGTGCTTCTTGCGGTGTATCTGGTTGCGATTTTAATGACTTGCTTATTAGCTATGGTCTAATAATAGCACTACATGCTCATCAAGTCACCAAGCTTCTTGGTATAGATATATTCTTCACCGTGCTTACGACTATATTCATACACGGCGACTTCAGTATACGTAAATGATTATTGCACACTGTTCAAGGACGCGCAATATGCTGACTCAAGAGCTCTAGCTCTCTGCTGCACACTCACAAATTTCCTGATTTTGTCTTTCGGTTTTCCTTTGAGCCACGCGGCTATGCACACGATGGCTGTGACCTTTTGGGCATCGGCGAGCTGTGTTTATAGCTATCAGCTGGCACTGAGGATGACGGCTTTATATGAAGTCTACTGGTACTGGAATTCTATAGACAACTTGGCCGATGAATGCATCCATCATCTTTTTAGGTGGCTTGGGAGCCAGAAGCGCTAATATAGTAGAGATACCACGCAAAGAAATTTACAGCAAATGACTAAACTGAAGGTAAATCCCTAGACTCTAGAATTATGGAAATCCGATAGTTCCCAGGCGAAGTACCTGGTTGCCTTGACGGAATTCACCATCGGCCAGAGAAAAGACGGGACAAGACAGGAAAGCGAAGAAGCTGACTCACTCACAACAATTGAAGAAAAGGCTGACACAGATCACCATCATTCGCTGACCGATATCAAAGTTCGCCATCCATGGATATTGTCTCAACCTCCCAAGGCAAGGATGCCAGAACAAGCATTGTATGACTTTTGATATGTTCCCTCATGCTATTCGTTTCACACAACATCACTTCAAATTTCGGACAAATATCGATCCCCATGATGGAGACCATTTTCCCGGCGATTCGCAATCTGGTTACACAGGAGTACGCCAGTCGGAGAATCCTTTCACTTTAGATGCTGGGGTTGTTGGAAGTATGTGCTATCAAACAAAACTACACCATTTCCTCTCATAACGTACGTCTTCTGAAATGCTCGATAAAATCGCCAAGGTAAAAGTAAAACGCACCTCAAAGTTGCTTCGGTTTAACTCTCTATTGTTCAAGGGATGGTGAATGGCTACGCATCGGAGCGAAAGTAGCGCCGTTAGATTTCATGGTGAAAGGTTGTCTTCGTCAGTGTTGGAATGTGTAACGATATACGTTCTTCGGAATTCTATTTTCAGCTGAAAAACTCGAGCCAATCTGTGATCGCGGACCTGGACAAACGCAATGAGTATCACCAACCCCAATTTGTGGCACACGTATATCAGCACAAGTGGCTTACGGCTGTGAGAGGATAAGCATGTTTCGCTCCACAATAATCAAGCATCCCACTCAATCTTGTTTATTTGATCTTCGACAAATTTACCCTACGAAGATATCCTTTGGATTCTATTTGCTCGATCGTCATGTTTACCGGAGTCGACGCTTGTCCAGACTTTGGTCTCTGGATTGCTGTGTGAGGCGAAACCAGAAACGACCCAGAAAATAGGCAGCAAACATACCATCCATTTCACAGAAAGGAGTTTATCATTTGCGTAGTATCCCAGAATGTTTTTACTTGGTAATATTGAGGTTACGTATGCCTGTTTCCCACTGTGACGCAGGATCGTGGATTGGGCCTTTCTCCATACATATAAACAGAGCGATTGCTCCCGTCTGATATTCTTCACAATCTTCATACCGTGGTATTCAAGTCTCTCCTCAGGGGTTATACCATCTTCTCTATCTCTTGAACCTGTATCCTAGGAACCCTCAGTGTCGAACCAGACATTTGATACTGTGTCCATAGTCCTAACTTCCTAAAGATGAGAATCCAAATCATCGCTCTCTTTCTCGGTCTGAGCACCGCAGTCCTCGCAGTCCCTCATATGCCACAGAACGAAAGACGTATGTGGAAGAACTGGCAAGAGTTATCGATTACTACCGTGACGCCGACGCCGACGCCCACACCCCGGCCGTCGCCTACCACACCACCAGGCGACGACGATGATTCTGGGGAATTTCCATTCCCATGGCCCACCGAGTGGCCACCAATCTTCGACGACTTCCCTGGCATCGGAGGAAATGACGATTCAAGCTCCGGTGATGTGCCTGATGCCAAGGGCAAATCTACTTCTGGGATTCCAGATGTCGAGGGCAACAATCGTCTTCGGAAGGGATCGAGATAGGTGGATGATGATCTATGCGTACGGCTCTATTTGACCTGCCTGGCGGAGGACTTTTTGTGTTGTTGTCGTGTCTTGCGTCAAGGGTCTGCTTATGGAAGACAATGGTGAGATCCAGGAAGGCCTCTCTGTCTAGTTATTGATTGGAATTTGGCTATTATGAATGGATATTTGCACCCCCTAGGATGCTTTAGTAGGATCATAGGTACCATTTCTTCTTTAGCACCCTCGTTGAATGATTCCTTCATACCTAACTGATTTTCAAATATGTGAGAGATCTTTCAGCTAAAGAAATATCAATACTATCTTTGGGACATATACTACGGTGGATAGAGAGAAGATATAGATATTAGACTATGTTAAGCGGGTAGCTACAGAGCTGGCTCTGAGAAGCTCACCCCTTACTGGCGTTCCGGTAATTTAAGCCATTATTATACCTTGGACATGTTGATTGTAACCATGGAAGCTCAACCTGATAAATCAACCGTCATGCTGACTTTGCAAAATTTCCCAGAGTGTATCCTTCAGCGGCACAAATAATTCTCAGTTATATTCTATTCTGCCTTTCACTCTTGTTTACTTCACCTTAGTTTCCCCTAAATATCAGCAAAATCTTTCCTCAACCACTCTTGGTGTTACTACATATGATCATTCACTTCATCTGTTTGTCTTCTTTACTCCCCAACTTCAACACCACCACCACAACCAGCATCATCATCATCATGGCTGGTGACAAAGGTCAACCATCTGAATCTTCCTCCGTCGACAGTGTCGCGTCCAACACCCAACACCCCCTGCTTCATCCGACCGAGTCCTCAGGAGCACAAACACAAAAAAACCCCCACCCCCAACCGCTCAGAGTCTTTTTTACGCCCTTAAAGGGGAGATAATTAATACCAACGGACCTTCTTTCATTGAAAGGAGGGGAATACCCCCGGAGATCGGTTGTCTTGTTGCAAGGAGCCTGTCAGAAGATAACCAAGTGGAAAGAAAAGCTGTCCGCATCTCATACAATCCAATAAATCAGACTTTATCTATCACGATGTCCTCCCATTTACACGATATCATTGTGGCCTGGGGTTCAAACGAGCTAGCCGGCGCCGTGGCGACCAGTTTTTTTACGAAGCCGGAGCTAAGTGAAGTCTTGCTCCTCGCGACATGCCGTAAGAAAATTGATGTTCTCTATAACTGATCTACACTTATTAATGGTATATAGGTTTTGATAACTTCCCGATACCATGGCAATCAGTTTATAAAGAGCCGGACGTGGTATTCGTCTACGGGCCTATGAACCTTCCCACAGTTCTGGTCGAGGTGGGCTATTCGCAATCATGGCCAAGCTTACTCCAAGACAAAGATTTGTGGTTTCAGGCTGTACCTACTGTGAACGTGGTCATTCTTGTAAAGTGGAATAGGCGTACTAATGGTAGGGTGGCCGGCTATCTGGAGCTGTTTCGCCGCAGATCCCCCACCCCCAGTCACATTGTAAGTATTCAGCAACAGAAGTTCTCCCTGTGGCTTGGCTGGTCAGGAAGCCGCTAACCAGTGTTTTATATCCTAGGATATTTTTCCTATACCAACACCACCCGCCCCCCAGACCCTCACTTTCCGCCGTGATGACTTTTATCCACCAGGGGCAACGCTTCCCGCCGGGAGATCCCCAAATGATTTGTGGCAATGGGATATTGATAACTTGCGGATGATGTCTACTCGGGCAATGAGTGTTGATGGTGCGGTGCCAGCATAATAATCTGATAAGGAGTGAGGCAGGCAATGTTCCGCAGTGTGGCATATTCTGGTGGGTGTCAGGGCTTCTGCGATCTAGCTAGACTTTTGTAGGAAAGCAGAACCTACTTATGGGACAGACTAGAAGATTCTAAAAATGGCCTGGATTATTGATGCAGAAAAGTATGATCGGCCCCATTTCCTCCAGTCCCAGAAACAAGCTCTAGCGGCTAACTATATACTATCCGGAAAATAAAGTTTAATCCGCTTTTAGAGGTATAGTCAAGCTGAGTATGGGCTCGTGAAGTGAATCAACTGTCATTCCCGGAAATCTTTTCTAGCAAGACAAAGTTCTACTATCCTTTTTGAGGTAGTGTGCGTTCGTTGCTACTAATTCGCATCAATCTTCGAGGACAAAAGAGCTCCCTGTTGCTCTGAGTCAACCCTATCTTGTTATCGAGGGAGTTTTTCCTTTGAAGGCACACGTCACTAATATCACAAAGGCACTGTTCATCTAGAGAAGCATAATCAGTGGCTGACGCTGAATCATTGCTGTGCCAGAATGCATACTATTCTGACCAGTCAGCCAGACGAGATCCAGTTGTTTAGGGCTATCGGCATTTCCCCAGGCTGGGGTGGAGACCCTCCCCTCATTTACCCCCATGACAGCAAATCACCCGAAGCTGGGCCCACCGAGGTAATTCAGCCGGCAATCCATTCTTGTTTAGCATGAAGTTTTCCGATATATCAATGCTGTGCGGAATTTAGTTCGGGCTGTAATGACCCGAACACCCAGCTACGTGCAGGCCAGAATTGTGGAGTTGGAAATGGGTGTAGCGGGGAGAGAAACGGGGGAATGCCGGTCCATTAATGCTTAAGTACGTATTGTGAGCCTTACACCGTGGCATGAATCGAGCTGCGTGCGACACGTCCTGCTTTTACCATGGCATCGAGACCCCCCGCCTCCGAAATCCACCATGTCATTGACCTCCTCATTGACAATCTCATCAACATTCGCGATGACACGGGTCAATTTCTCCTGCACCTGAAAGATGGCCGCACCATTCAGGCGAAATGCTGGAACGGCTGGGAATGGACCCATGGCATCGGGCTGTACGGTGTATGGAAGTTCTACGAGATAACGGGCCAGGCCAAGTACCTTAAGATTATCGAGGACTGGTTTGCCGAGCGTTTTGCTGAAGGCGGCACTACCAAAAATATTAACACGATGTCTGTCTTCCTGACTCTGGCCTATGTTTATGAGAAGACAGGTAATCTTACCTACCTCCCCTGGCTCGATGCATGGGGCGAATGGGCGATGCACGAGTTGCCACGCACCAAGTATGGTGGTATGCAGCATATCACCTACGTCGTGGAGAATGACCAGGAGCTCTGGGACGACACTCTTATGATGACTGTGATGCCGCTTGCTAAAATCGGAAAACTCCTTCATCGACCTGAATATATTGCCGAGGCGAAGCGACAATGTCTTATCCACGTAAAGTATCTCTTTGACACAAAAACGGGTCTCTTCTTCCACGGCTGGCGATTCGAGAATGGTGGACATCAGAATGGGGGACATAATTTTGCGGACGCAAGGTGGGCACGCGGCAATAGCTGGTGTACCATCGTTATCCCAGAGATCCTCGAATTGCTGGAACTAGAGCCGAGTGATCCTATCCGGTACCATCTCTGTGATACACTTGAGGCGCAGTGCGAAGCACTGCAGCGGTCCCAATCTGTATCGGGTGCTTGGCATACGCTTATTGATCACCCGGACTCGTACCTCGAGGCATCAGCGACTGCTGGATTTGCCTATGGTATTCTGAAGGCTGTACGAAGACGGTACATCGGGTCGCAGTACCGGGATATGGGAGAGAAAGCTATCTTCTCTGTGCTGAAAGATGTAGATGAAAAGGGAGAGCTCCAGAACACTAGTTTTGGCACGCCTATGGGCCACGATCTTCAGTTTTACAAGGATATCCCTCTTACTGCCATGCCGTACGGCCAGGCCATGGCAATCATGGCTCTGGGAGAGTATCTATGGACCTACCTGTAGTTGACTGTTAAATCGAGGTTCAATCTGAACGAGGTGTTTGAACATTGTAATTTCCACTGATTCTGTGTTTGAACTCAATAGAGACTCACGAACGTAAAGATACTATTGGATGAACTGAAAGTGAGCGGCCTTCCTATGTCGCCAGAGGGTCTGGACACAGCTGCACATACAGGGCCGGAGACCTCGACAATAAATGCGATCTGATTAAAGAAACTAATAGGCAAGACATCCGATACGACTTTCAAGAAAGCTTTACATTATTTGAGTGTGGAAGATAGGGAGAAAAAGAGATAGCGTTGTGTTTCAGGATTATCGTAGGGGTGTGATGATCAAATTTGTTGGTTAGATCGAGGAAAGTAAACATTGGACTGCTGTTGGCCCATTTTCTCTCGGAGAATCTATAACCAAACTCCTGGTTACTGTATGACTCCGATCAGGTTGTCCAGTCCACGGTCTTGGCCAACATTTCCTCCCAATATGTTACTGCTTGCCAGATCATTATGTCATCGATGATTGGCGCGTTATTTCCCACTCTCCCCCACATCCTCGATTTCGATCGCAAACACAATTTCCCCCCGATTTCCACTTCAACAACTGTGTGTGTATTCGCAGGACCCCGATTCCTTGCCCAAGTACCGGAATTCCCTGAGCCTCAGAGGCATGCTTAGAAGACCCCTAATACATCTCCGACATATTGTTAGTGACTTTGAAGATGGTTGACCAAGCCGATAGCAAGCTAAGAGTCAGTTCTTGTACACCCTTCGCGTTCACCGTGGAGATATGACTCAAGTCGGGACTCTGGTAGCTGATTGCTTGACTTGTCTCTGCTTCTTTAGGAATTGGAAAAGGATTATTGTCCGCCTCTTGACCCAGCCTTATTTACAGCTATCGCCTGTGACTATGATCTCTCTGACTCGGCGCAGCTCCAGCAGCTTCGCGAAACCCTCGACACCCTCAAGTTGTCTGCATGGGAACAGGAAGATCTTCCATTTGATCCGTCCGGTACAAGTGGTCTGGGTACAAATGGTGTTGATTCCGAAGGGATCCCGTCGGAAAACAGCGTGTCGCAAAACGGCACAGTGCGATCGCGTGAAACAGACATCACCAGCTTAGCATCGGAGTTTTCCTCCTTCAGCGTAGGCGATAAAGGCTCACACAACGGTAAGAGTATATCCCAACGTGTGTCCTATACGATTAGTGCAGATGGATCGCTTTGTCTATCGGGTGCAACTGAGGAGGATAAAATTGGCTACTTGTCGGAAATGTTTCCGTCTGTTGATAAATTCAACATCCAGCATGCGCTGCGGAAGTCTAATGGGGATGTCGATCGCTCAATGGACGTCCTGCTTAACCTTACCTTCTTCTCCGAACAACCCTCAATTGACGACGGGGATAAGGTTGCTATCCCTAAAGGCATTGATGGGTTTCAAGATGGCTCGAATGGGGAAACTGGAAGAAGGAAGAACCGCAAACGCAAAGGCAAAACTAAGAGCGGTCGAAACTATGAGCGCTCGTCCCCCTTGGACTCTGAGGCAGGCTGCTTCTTGCAGGATGAACCCTGTACTGTTAATAAGTGGGATGCTGCGCAAAAGGATATCGAGTTTATTCACTCCAGGACTTCCCCTGTCCTGAAGAAGGAGATAGTCACATCCACCTACCATGCTAATGGGGCTTCTTTACCGGCGACTATTCGGTCCCTGGCAGAGACACATGCACCGAAAGACGAGCGGGCCATTAGTCAAGATACAGTTACAGAGGCACAAGTTGCCGAGCTGATCCAGGAGCTTCCTTCCATTCCGCCCACGACGTTCGCAGGTCTACTTAAAATAACGAGAAGTTCCGTCTCAGCCGCTAGTGAATTGGCGACTGCAATGCTGGCCGGACCAGTAACTCCATCAGTGTCTGAATTGATTAAATTTACTACTTCACCACCACCAGTCGATCTCGAGGTGGAGACGCCTAGGCGACGGAATGAGCCGCGGGTCATTCGGGATTATGATCGTGTAAGCAGTTCCGCAGGGGCTCATTTTGCTGCCGGTTCGGAAGCACTCGCCAAAGCCTCGGCGGCATATCGTCGCGGAAAGTCTGATCGCCTGATGGGCGGTGCCGCTGCTTATTACTCGGCAGTCGGACGAGACCATCTAGAGCGGGCAAAGCGGGACGCAGCCGCAGCTGCAGATGCCCTCGTAGATTCGCAGTCAACGCACAATATGCTAGATCTTCACGGGGTCTCGGTGCAAGATGCGGTTCGCATTGCCAGTGAACGGGTCTCAGATTGGTGGGAGTCTTTCGGAGACGCCAAATACACGCGCGGTGGTGAAATAGCCCGGTCCGGATATCGCATTGTCACTGGGCTCGGGCGACATAGTCATGATGGGACATCACGCCTGGGTCCTGCAGTGGGTAAGATGCTGGCTCGTGAAGGCTGGAAAGTGGAAGTAGGCGAAGGAGTTTTGACTGTTGTTGGGGTGGTGCGACGTCGTTGAACCTTGAGCTACATTTGTCGAGATACCCCTGTTACAATAATTGATCATCTAGCTATGCATTTGGAGTAGACATTTGATATTGTCAATTTTTTTTTTACGGTGGACTCTATTGTACCTTGTACAGTTTATCAGAAGAACTATCTTAGATGAATTCTGCCATAAGATGAGCCTTGAACAATTCACTTAATTTTCTCCGCAATCGGGATTTATGACGTAAAATGCTAAGGCAAATCGGACAAATACATCGACTTCTCTAGTTCTAAAGAGGTTAAACTTCTCTACACTTTCAATACTAATCTTGCGCAACTTTTACTCTCTATTTCATAATTACAAACCTAATGCGCATCCAACGCTTCTCCACAGCCCTCCGCACTTTCACCTCCTCCGTCAGATACCGGTCCACGCCCCTCATCACGAAAGCCGCTTCTCAACATCCGAACAGATCATCCCTCCCAATCTCAAAGTCCACTACACTCAAAGCTGCCCCAGGGATCCTCTCATTCCTAAGCTCTTTCTTCACCTCAACCGCTAAAACCGAAACCGACAACAATAACATGTCCTACCCCGACCAGCGCAGCGCTGAAGAATGGCGCGCCGTCCTAAGCCCAGGTTCGTCCCAGAAACCGAGGCAACTAGAACCCAACTAACAATATCCCTCGAAATCGCAGAACAATTCCGCGTCCTCCGTCAAAAGGGCACCGAGCGTCCCGGCACTGGCGAGTATGATTCCCACTACCCCTCCGAGGGCGTGTACAGCTGTGCGGGGTGCAATGCCCCGCTATACAAGGCGACACACAAATTCAAGTCCGGCTGCGGCTGGCCCGCATACTTTGATTCTATCCCTGGTGCTGTGACGAGGCATACGGATAGTACCTTTGGGATGCAGCGGACGGAGATCGTCTGCAGTAACTGTGGAGGTCATCTGGGGCATGTTTTTAAGGGGGAGGGGTTTCCGACCCCGACGGATGAAAGGCATTGTGTTAATAGTGTTAGTCTAAGGTTTCAGGAGGGGGATGATGTAAAGGCGAAGGCGTAGCTGGGGGCGGGGTTGGTTGGTTTCTTGGTGTATCTTGATGGTAGGCGTGGGTAGGTGTATATTTATTGAGCTGTTCGCTCTGGGAGACATAGTTATTGCGTTGGTGGATGTGAAATTAGAGGGGTGTTGTGGTCGAAGCTTCTAGAGAGTAGGTACTGGTTGATATTGTAGGTACATAATATTATCAATAAACGCGCAGTCATTTTAAAGGTAATCATCAGACTCAATTCACATATCCCCTTAAAGTCTGTCTACTAGGAGCATTCTTCTCTCTTGGTCGAGATCTTTTGATAGGAAGCTTTGTGTTCAAGGTGGGGCGGCCAGGACAATGCCCCGGTACGGAGTATATAGTTCATGATATAAGGGTCAATTCATGTACTAGTAGTAATATATGCATGTGATCATATGCGACGGGAAATAGCATCATTGAATGAGGTATCTAAGGCAACAGCTTTAGAAAGTTATCGCAAACTGGAAAACTATGCCTAAGATATTCTTTCAATAGACCATTGTGAATTCAATGCATTCAATGAACTGCACACCCGGCACGTGTACCCCACCCAATCGGGCATCCAACATTTATTGATTGGAGCCTGAGGCTGCCAAGTACCGCATCCGCCACCTGACGGGAGATTGTCCCCGTGTTTCAACCATCTTCTCTCCATTCGCCTCCCCTTAAACCTTCTCGGCTTCTTGAGTGACTGCATTTCCTACTGTGATGTCTCGACGTGCGACACCGGGCCAGGCTGCTCAGAACCAGCAGACTATCAAGAGTCTGCTGAAACTCGAACACAACAAAATATGTGCCGATTGCAAGCGCAACAAGCGTTAGTACCCCGGAATTCGCCGTACACTTGGATATACTTTACATCTACATGTGGTCGGTGACAATGGATTGCTTAGCTGACAATTGTCTCATTAGATCCACGATGGGCGTCCTGGAACCTGGGAATATTCATTTGTATCCGTTGCTCGGGTATTCATAGAGGCATGGGCACACATATCAGCCGGGTGAAATCCGTGGATCTTGACTCCTGGACCGACGAACAACTTCAGAGCGTGGTGAGATGGGGTAATGCGAGAGCGAACAAGTGTGTCTTCGATTCGGCATTGTATTTCGCAAAAGCAAGCGGGCTAATGACTTGGGCAGATATTGGGAGGCGAAACTGGCGCCCGGCCACGTCCCGTCGGAAGCGTGAGTGGATTCGCCGAGACAATACGGATGGCAGGCTAGAAACTTGTTGCTGACGAGGGTTGGCTCTAGGAAAATTGAGAACTTCATTCGGACCAAGTATGAATCCAAGCGGTGGATCATGGACGGCCCGATGCCCGACCCTTCCACGCTAGATGATGGTGATGACGATGTGGTAAGATTCTTGGCATCTGCTTATGGTGGACTAGGACTGACAATATATTCTGTAGCCCCTTGCTGTTGTTCAGGAAAAGGCAAAGATTGAGCGTTCCGCATCACAACGAGTAGCAACGTCTAGCCAACCACCGGCGGCGCATCGCCAGCAAGCATCTATCGACCTCTTCGCTGACGATGATATCGCTCCCCCAGCCCGTCCTAGCACCACGGACCCTACACCACGAGCCGCGCCGAAGCAGCCTCAGTCTGCTCCTAAGCCAACACGCCCTGGGGACTCTCTGCTCGGCCTTGACTTCTTTGGCAGCGCCCAGCCGGCCACCAACAGTCACCCGTCCAGCACGGTGTCTACCCCGGGTGCCTCCACTGGCATTTCTAGGCCCGATTTGAAGCAGTCTATCCTGTCTCTTTACTCAAAGCCTCAGCCAGCCCCAGCGCAACATGGGCGCACTTCTTCGTTTGGAGATTTTGGAGACCTGGCGTCTCCTGCGCCGCCCTCAGCATCGTCATCTTCTAACCTGGGTGGTCTCACGGATGCCTTTAGCGGACTTAGCTTCCCATCGACTACTTCTCCACCGCTTCAAAAGCCAGCGGAAAAGCCATCTCCATTTGCCAATCTAACAAGCTTCGCCACCAAGAAGTCCACTCCTGCAGCTCCGAAGGTCTCCTCCCCTACGGCCTCTGCCGGCAGTGGTGGGGGTAGTTTGTTCGACAGCCTTACCTCTCCCACTATTCCTGCAGCCAAGCCTCAGTCCCGTACTACGTCGATTTCTTCCAATGGGTTCGACTCGGGATTCACCGGTTTCGCGTCTCCTCCACCATCTAAGCCGAACCCACCACCACCATCCGCATCATTATCCAATGATCTCTTCGGACTAACATCCCCTGCTCCCGTTGCTTCGTCCAAGGTATCTTCCCCTCCAGCACCGACAGCAACCTCACCGCAGCAAGAACTGAAGGCCGCTTTTAACCTTAATCCCCCTGCGCCCGCTCCGATGTCTGCAGCGCCAAAACATAGCATGTCCGGCACAACAGCATCTATCGCAAGCGCACTTCCGGCAAGCATAGATCCTTGGGGTGGAGGTAACGCATGGAGCACTCCGGATCCTGCGCCAGCTGCTCAGCCCTCCGGTTCATCGATGATGAAGGTCCCCGATACCCTGACTGCCAATGACATCGGGGCCGGTTGGGGCGCTCCGACCTCCCCACCCGGAGGTTCGAAGCAAGCACCGACAGTGGCTGCAGACGAAGACTTCGGAGGCTGGACCAGTGCAGCACCTATCTCATCCACGACGGCAGCCCCTACAAATATGAGCGTTCCATCTAAACCGGCAGGCGGGTTTAGCGGGGCTGATGATCTATTTTCTAATGTATGGGAGTAGTTGTTTCCCCTCCTATGTTGACCAAAGTTGCACATACTTGGTGTTATGTTAGACCTCAGCGCCAAATCGCAATTTATTTCTTATTTCTTATTTCATTCATCTTACGCCCTTCACGTCTTCCATTTTTGCCTTTGAACGTCTAGATTCCCTGTTCTACTTTATTTTACCTATGCGACACTGAAACCTGCATTCATCTGATAATGACTTGGGATATGGAGTTAGGGCTGTAAAAATGGCGGTTTTGATGGACAAACTGTTTTGTAGAAATTGTTCATAATTGTCCTTAGGGCCTTTTCATAACGTTCAATATGACGCTGGTTATTATGAATGGCACTATTATCTGACATTTCTTGGGTGTAATAGCTTTGTTTTCCCTAGCGGGTTTGTTGGTTGGGAAAAGCGGCGTGGGGTCGGACCGAAAGCGAAGTTACGATGTGATTTATGTATTTGATAGTTAGTTAACTTAATTTCATTAATCATTCCTCCTGGCTAACTAAAGATCCCCACTTTAGAATCTCGGCGGGCTTATATAGCGCAATGCCAGTTATTGATCCAATGCTAGGTGGCGAAATCTTCCTATAGACATGCAATAATTACTCCTAGTGAGTACTGGCGAATGCACCACATCTCTCTACCTTAATCTAACAATGTCTCAACAAGTTAATATTGACCACGGCCAACTGTTGACGGTATCTATACTCGTCTGAATTAATAAGACTAAACGGGCCCTTGTGCTATCTAATGTACTACATTCGTATGCCTCACTCCCACTGATTCTACCCAATCATAGAAACCTGGCTTATTCGCATACCGAATAGCGTTGTGATCCCGTGATGGCGGATTATCGCAGGCCGATATCAACCGGGAAGGAATTGCCCCAGCCTATAACGTCTACGCCCAGGGTTCGGCTGAGCTGCGAATTGTGTCGCCAACGGAAGGTAAAGTGCGACAAGCTTAACCCTTGCACGAACTGTCAGCGCTTCGGCGCTACGTGTGTCCCTGTTGAACGGGCGCGACTGCCGCGAGGCCGCTCTGGCAGGGTAACAGGGAAGAATGCTTCTGGACACGACACAGGCTTGAAAGAGCGTGTGGATAGACTTGAAGAGCTACTTCGAGAATTGACTGAGCATGATGACGGCACAATCGCCGTACAGGTCGATTCCAATAGCTCGGGCAGGTCAGATCCAGCGCCTGCCAACAAGCAAGCGGATAATTACGAGTCTGGAACAGAGAATTCGCTTTGGGCAAACATTTTAAAAGAGGTATAATGGCTCTATTATAACTTTGTTTAGAAAACATAACTCTAATGACACAATAACAGATACACGATATACGCAGTACTCAGAGTTATGGCTCACTCAATGAGGGCCGTACTTCTAACAGTGATGCCATGAAATTTAGGGAGCTTCTTGCGACACCAATGGGACTTGGTTCGTCAATGGCCACTACAGAGCCAAATCTCACCATACAGGCCGAGAAAAACCTAGCTCAGGTCTTTTTAAAGAAAGTTGACCCGGCGTTCAAAATCCTACATGCCCCCTCGCTGAAAGCATTTCTACTCGATGGTAAACCCTACCTCGACTATGGGCCGGGACATACGGCTCCTGCTGCACTTGCTTCTGCAGTCTACTTTGCAGCAGCATGCAGCATTACGGAAGATGAGAGTAAAAACTTACTTGGTTGCAACAAAGGCTGGCTCGTGGCACGGTACCAACAGGAGTCAGAGGCAGCTTTAGCAAAAGCGGACTTCATGACTAGCAATGACTTGGCTATCCTGCAGGCTTTTGTTCTGTTTCTGGTAAGTGCTCTTGTTCCCTACTATTACCATCCTTAGAGAACATTCTCTAACAATATTATGAATCCAGCTAGCCTCGCGGTCGCAAGACTCGAGTCGACGGGTCTGGACTATGCTGAGCATGGCCCTCCGTATTGCACAAGCACTTTTGCTTCACCTCCCCGAGCTACCGTTTCCTGTACGACCGTTCGAACATGAACTACGCCGACGTTTGTGGACCTACATTGGCCTTCTCGATATACAGTGCTCCTTAGAGCGCGCATCAGAGCCCATGATGCAAGCGAAATGGGTGGAATTAAACCCACCCTCAAACGTCAACGATTGCGATATCAGTTTCGGCATGGATGGCCCAGTACCAGAAGCCGGGGGCTTCACAGACATGACCTTCGCCATGGTGACCCTGAAAGCTCAATCGACCGTTCGGCTGCTCAATTTCTCAGACTTCATCGACAAAACCGTGAGTTGCGTCAACAAGCGCCAACAGCTCGTAATCGAATTCCAAGAGACAGCTTCAAAGCTACTCCAGAACTCCCAACCAGACCAAATCCCATTCCACTGGTACGTCAGACAAGTAGCCGAGATCATAAGCGCCTCCCTACAACTAATAGTTCTCCGACCGCTACAACGAAACGCGAACTTCGTCCCTCCCCGTGTCCGCGGGGACCGTCTTCTCCAAATAGCCGTCGACATCCTGAAGAAGTCGAAAGCCGTCCGCAACGACCCACGAGGCCAGCCATGGCGATGGTGCGAATTCATGTTCGTCCCTTGGCATTCACTCGCAGTAGCCATCGCCGAACTGTGCGTCTGCGAGGATCACTCACTAATGGAAAGCTTCTGGGGCCCGGTCCGAGAAGCATACGAGAACATGGGCGACCTAATCGCCGATTCGCGCAGAGGGATGATCTGGAAACCGATGGAAAAAATCATGGCGCAAGCAGAAGCAAAAAGAAATGAACTATTGGCGGCATCAGATGCCATCCCATACTCGACGCATTTTCCTGGGACTGCTGCTCCCTTACAAGTACCCGTTTGCTCTCAGACCAGTATGCAGCCCTCCGCGGCCCTGGCGGGGGATATTATCCCAGGTACGGGCGCTTATACTGAGGCTGCCCCTCTTGTGACCCTTCCGGAGACTGTTGAGCTTGGTCCTTGGCCTAGTGTCTGGGATGCGGTTGATTTTGGGTGTCCGGTGGCTACCGATGAGATGTCTTGGCTGAACTATGAGAATTTCATTGAGGACGTTTATGGTACTATGGACTATACCCTGCTAGCCCATTAGCCAACAACCATTCGGTGCCTGACCTGAGCTGTGAAGCCGGTTACCCAATGACACTACGCGACGACAGATATACTCGAATCCTTGTATTCAATTATAAAAGTCTAGAAACACCCGTTGGGTTAAACCATGGCTTATACAAGCATCCAGAGAAGTCAACACAACCGAACAAACCCACCATCTAGCAGACGGGGAATTCAGATTTCCTCACTCAGCTACGTACCCACTCCATATAGTACACAAATTCACCATGGAAAGAAGAGCAAATGCAGCATTACCGAGGGCAAAAGAAACCATTTATGGATAGAAGATAGTGTGTCACAATAAGCGGAAAAAAAAAAAAAGGATTAGCAGCCATTCACCATTTCTACCTCATAACCCAGACGCCATGTAGAGTCAAGTTACATTAGCCCTCCCGACATTAACAGATTCGTCTCTGATCTCTTAGACAAGAATAGAACTCAACTCCACCGCGCTTTCGCACAAGCCGATACATACGTTCGTGGCCGTGAAAGTAGCAAAAAGTGCACGTGCACATGGCTAGGGATGGGAAAACAAGAAAAGACTCGTTAACCGAGTTAATAATAGTATTGAAATAGAGATATCAGAGGAAATGCAGGGTATTTGTACAACAGATAGCAGAAAGATAATGCAAAGGAAAGGGGGGTGAACCGGAGGAATGATACGACAGATAGCGAGTGGGATCCAAAGAGTGCCGAGAGAGCTCATTTAGCAAATAGATAGGTAGTACTTTGAGAGAAGCTCTGACTGGGCAATAAATTTCCTTGTTAATTTTTTTGTTTCTTTCTTTTCTTTTTTTCTGTTGGATTTAGTAATATTCCTCTCGTTCTAGGATCATAATTAACTCGGTGAGTTCCTTGCGTAGTGACCGGTTACGGTCCCAAATCTCGACGATCCTTGGGCGATGGCTTAGGAATACGGCCTTCTTCCATGATAGACCGTCGTGTTGCTGTGCGACTCGGTCCGGTAGATTCCTTGCAAGATTGCGCAGGACTAATGCAGCCTTGTACGCCACTCCGACGGGCTCTCCCCTCTCATTGACGGGTGTGTCCAGGTAGAACCATTTACGAACAATACGTTCCTGGAGTACAGGACGTTTTGAAGATGGCGCTTCAGCATCTGCGGGTCGCTCTTCGGGTAAATGTGAAGAAACGTGGCCTGCCACCATGGCAGTGTTAGCACTAGGGCCAGACGAGCGGAATTTAGTACAGTTGTCCCAAAGGCAGGTGTGTATCGGTGACTCGGCTTTGTCCAGATTGTAGTGACCCGGCTCCTCACCACTCGTGGCAAGGTTCATATGGTCCGAGAAAACATGGTTGCGAAGATCGGTTGGCGTTTTAAAGGCGCGTTGGCATGTTTTGGAAGGCTTCGAGTTATCTGTCCATTTGCAGTACAGGTAAGGGAAGCCTTGGAAAGTGTAGGCAGTCTCCAGAGGTCTGATACCCTTGATAATGAACCTGGTAGTTGCACCAGGTCCGTTAATGACCTGCGCTTGTGCGTTTGTGAAAGTTGTGCTGACATTCTTGATGAACTCAGCCGCCGGTAGAACACCCCCGCCAGGAACCCGAGGGTCTGCGAAACGGCTTTGATACGCTTGCCATAGGGCGATCTGAGTGATCTCACAATCAGCGTCTTCGACGAAGCAACAACGCAGCCATCGAGAGCTGCGCTCGGGTTCAGACAGCTCCATTAGGTCTTTCAAGAGCTCTGGGGGGACACGGGGAATTTCCGAAGGGGGTGGTGCCACTTTCTCCTCTTGCAAAACTGTTTCCTTCTTGCTGGGTCGCGCATCGTGCGTTAACAATGCGATCATGCGCGGCGCAAAAACAATAGGAAGGTTGAAAATATCAATCAAATTTTCAATGTTCTCCCGAGAAAGCGTATACTGATACCAGAAGTCCAGTGCGCCGCTTAGGATATCTCTATCCTGGTCAAGCAGCGTGTGGAAGTACAACTGTTGCAGAGTATCTTTTGGTACACGCTCCATTGCCCGATTTGCCTCCTGGTCGTCTAGTTCCGTTGAAAAATGGGTAAGAGCCCAAAGGGCGCGAATAACGTGGGCACGGTCTGGTGATTCGAGACAGCCAAGCAAGGAGATCCAAAGGGGGTCTTCAGGGTCAGTCCTCATGAACTTCGTAACTTCCTCTGCAATATCCAATGCGTCATTCTTAATTTCATTTAGACGTGGCTGGTTAGGGAGGTTAATCAGAATGACTAAGAAGTCCCTCAGTAGTCCTTTGGCGTAACGCGATACATAGAAAGCGTTCTCCTTGAGCAGAACCATATTCCGGAGAACCAATGTGGCCTCTTTGACATTTCGAAGACGGTGATTGAACTCATAGGTCTCAAGGGTGTCATCTGGCAAGGTTACAGGTATTTGTTTAATCTTCTCCAAAATATCTCGGGTGCCGTGGAGTGAGTTCAACACATTGACACGGTCGGTGGGTTGCCGAAAATCATACTGAAGTTCCCATTTCACGCCAGTGCAAAGGATGGATACATCTATGGCTTTCTCCATCAGGGTCTCTGCAAGTAGTGGGAAGCCCTCAAACTTGAATTTATCCCATCTCTGGTTGGATATTTGCACAAGGTGGTACAGCGCGAAATCAACCTCATCCGATATTCCTGATTGTAGGCCGTAATGGGCCCGTTTGTAAATATGATCCGCTGAGAAAACGTGTCAGTTATGCCTACAAGGTTTGAAACGGTACAGCGCGAGCCCACGTACACTTCGGTACCTCCAAGTATCTGAGGGGAAAGTATGGGTCGTAAAAGTCAGGCTGCTTCGCTGTCTTTCCTCTGTCGTTGAGGCCAATGAACAGACCTGGCCGATTTCCAGGCGTGGCTACCTCACGTGTGGACATCGGAACCTTCTGCTCCCTCCCTTCCCAACTTTCGACTGTGGGATGAGGGCTATTTGAGGCGACGGAGTTGGCGTGTGTCTGAGACATTGATACTGGTTGTGGTGATTGGGGGTGTGCGTGCACATGTGAGCGTCTAACTGGCGCAGTATCTGGGATGAATGGCTGGTTGGCCTTTGGGGCTTGCCGCAAGCCCTCTACTGACAGTCAATATAAGCTCAACCATTGAAAAGGTAGTCTCATTGAAGGAGAAAGGCATCACTTACCACGCAGGGACGTGCGTGGTGTAGCAGTACTCATTTTCAACTTAACCCAAGCTAGTCGCAGCTGAGTGAAGGGTTATCTGAATAAGTTCCAATACTGGAGCTTTCTTCTTTACTGAGCTCCCTTTGAAAACCCAAAGCCAAACTCACACGACTTGGGAGCAGTAGTTGTTGGGCAACTTTGTGTTGACTCCAGAATATCGATCTCTCCCGTGTTTTTTGGATATACGGAGTAGAACGCGCAAATCGAACGTAGAGGGGTGATCGTGGCTTCTCGTTTTTTTCCTTTTCAAGCCGGGGATCCGGTAGCGAACGAGGGGTAGGGTAATGTTCTTCTGTAGAGACAGGGTCGACTGTCGAGCTCGAACAGGTCTACACTTTGCGTGAAGTCGTGGATTTTGGGCGCGTTTCAAAGCTATCGGGAAAGCACTGGCTGTTGAAGGAAAGAGGATGCGACTGCGGCACGAAAACAGAAGTCCGCGTCACAGAGTATTGAGGAAAGCGGTGCGACGACCCTGCGCGGCTAATGGAAACAATTGGCGACAGGAATAATTAAAATATGAGCGTCAATGCTTGAGTTGTGGCCCTTGGTGGGCTTCGTGAATGCAAGCTGATCGCTGATCCTGCGATCCGTCCTACCATTTCAGACAAAAGTCCGCGCAACAGCCAGCAACCAGGACACCAGGCAGGCCTCAGGCGCGTTTCCGGATTATCTGTATTTCCGTTATTGAGTATGTTTGTAATGTTTGTAATGTTTGTCCTGCTGAGTCATTTAATTCCAGCCTTGTTTTGAAGGCAAATACTAACGTTCCCCGGATCTACAATCTAATCGCTTGATGGAAGATGCACGCCCCAGATGTCATACTACTATAGTACGGAGTACTGCCAGGTGGTTTAAGTGGAGCGCTATTTTACGATGCGGTACCATTTACTTTACTCTTTCTTTATGATAACACTTTCTTCTATTAAAGCTTCCATGTTGCTAAGATTAATAGTAATCGGTACTACTAGTAGTAGGAGGTCCATCATATGCTGGGACCGTCTCGAATGATTGGTTCTCCTTAAGTCATTTGTCAACTACTACTACAGTTCAGGTGATCTACTAAGTACTAAGTACTAGTACTAGCACTTACTGAAGTACAGCCCCAGGGCTACGTCTACACTTTAAGCCATAGTCAATGGTTAGGTTTCACAGGTCTTTCTCATATATAGTTTCATCCTAGGATGTATCGCCCTACTCAGCGGTCCCAAGAGGGCACACAGCTCGCCTGTTTGTCCTTGGCGAAGTTTTCTTATACAACTACCTCTATCAGTCACAGAGGCCCTTTTAATTGGAGCCATATAATCGGAAATGGTGATATTACCTGCATATTCGAAAGGCACGCAACGCCCGCACCTCTCCACAGTAGTGTTTTGCTGAAGGTCCTACGTGGCCATGACACCCTTGTAAGATTTGGAGTCATACATATTGTTGTAGATATTGCTAACGTTAATACAACCACTCCTTTAGGAGCAGATTGATATTACGAACCTCTTAAGAGAACTTATAAATCAGCCTCAGTCAAGTCAACATGGTCAAACAAAGCCAATATTTGCTGTTGTCGTGAAGCTACCATGCCTCGCGGTGAAATATCCAGAAGGGAATGGATATGTTCGTTTGACCGACATACAATGGCTCGGGATCCCCTATCTGATATAGTGCAGATTCGTCGGTTTCAGATAAAGTTCTCCTTAGAGCGTGACTTTTACAGTGCGCTTTCCATACTCAGTGATATCAAGTGCCCTTTTTCAGAGTCAAATCCTGGCTCAATGCCAGGGACTCGCAGATTGATCTCATCACAGTGGCCTACAGGGCCAGTGCCACCTGCACCTCATTCAGTGGGCTCCTTCTCTAATGCACCTGGAATAGCTGCTATTCCTGCTCTGAGAGTTCCACCTTCCCCACTATATTCACCAGCAATTAGTCTGCCGGTGATGACACCAGACCCTACTCCCGGTAACCCGCTTCAATCTTGGCTTAAGAACATTGACCATATACTCATCTAACTTGACTTATAGGCGAACTGAGTCTATCCTCATATACCGCCTTTCCAGGTCACTCAGCGCCCAATGACAACCAAAGACACAATTCAAACAGCGCTACTGCTCCTATGAGACAGTCACTACTTCACACCTCGAGCGACGATACCTCAACTGGAGCAGCGTCCAGACCTTCATCAGCTACAGTTTGTCACGACAGTCATACTCTCAATCAGATTTTACCTCCGAAAAGAGACCTGCCATTTCCCAGACAACAGGCAAAGAGACCGTTTCCAACATTGCTGCCACGAGCTTCTACCATGTCACACACAGACGCATATAAGAAAATGCCTAATACAGGTACCATAAGTCCTATATGCTGTATAAGTGCTTGATATCATCTTCCCCAGCTAACCTTAGCTCTATGTTAGCTACACAACCAACACTTAGCACACGGACACTACCCCAAAACCAAATAGACACAGAGAAGACGCACAATTCAAGAGTTATTACGCTCAAATACCGCCCATCCACACACCCACAGCCCATTCAAATAGAGCCTACCCATAGTCAAGCCTCCCACAGACCTAGTCTTACACACCCGAACGCTACACCACACATACTACCTACTCACGATTCCCCACTTGCGATCCAGCAGGATGCACCTTCCCTTCTGGAACAACGTCCAACTATTAGTCTCCAGGAGCCTCAACATAACCTCCTCACTGAAGCAGATCTCTCAGTATATCTGGCGTCGCCGACTGCGGAGCGTACACAGAAGCTGGAGAACTGGATCTGCAGGCGCATCGAAGACGACGGGTTTTTGCAGCTCTGTGAGGATGTGGAAGGAATATGGAGAAGGTTTGCATTGGGCAAGTAATTGTTTCTTTGCTTCCTGTATTTTGTTCTTCTGGTTTCAATTTATCTCATGGTTAAGCTTCCCTCAGTTCATATATGATATGACCTTCAAGTCTGTATGACATAGTCGCTAGACCCTGTATCTATGCCAGTTGCAAAATTTGCTGGCGTTATACTACATCTGTACTTCCCAGCAAAGTCAAATCGCACTTTTCATTACATAGAATTAAGCCAACTATGGCATGTAGAAAGAAATAGATATCACTGTCAACTTGTTATAAATACATACAGAATCACCAATAAGCCCGCTAGATACCATTAGCCATAAGAGATAGAAAATGTTATTTTCTTTTTTCCGAGAAAAGTAGAGGAGACGGGAAAGCAAACTACAAGGCAGCTAAGTTACAACTGAAATAGATTTTCATGAGGAATAGGAATATTCCCATCGGCCAAGAAAACCCTCCAACCGTCGTCAGTAAGCGCGTCTCAGCGAGACCGGCGGTAGATTAAACCTGAAAAGACGTTGAGATATCCCTCTTTGGTGAGGAGAGTAAAGTCAACCACAACACGACCCTGCGGTTGCGAGACAGAAGTAAGATTCGGCGAGGTGGCATTCAGATTGCTCTCAGTCGAGAGCCCAGGGGGTGGGGATCCAGAGTTAGCCGCCACGGTGCCTTCAGCACCTACAGCAAGATCTGCCAGGTGCTGGAGGGACCGTTGTTCGTTCGGACCCATAACTGGGGGAACCGCAGAGCCGCTCTTACCCAGGCTGGGATCCTGGAGTTGGCTCTCTTGGGACTTGGTCCGTCTCCATTCCAAGAATATCCGGATCTTGGAATCCCAACCAGGAGTGGCAAAAATATCGCTAAACTCCGTTGCTTCAGTGCTCCGCTTCGTACGGTAGTCAAGAATTTCTTCGACCTTTTTCAACGCATCCCAGCACTCGTTCGCATGCTCTGGAATGACGGTAGCCTCCAGCAAAGTCATAGAGGCTAAAGCTAAGCTGTGAAGATCGAATGGCGTTGTAAGACGAGACTGTGTATTCGACTTGTGGATCTCATTGATGGCTTCCACAGCGCTGTGAATAATTTCATAGGGACTGTAGACGTATATGTGGCGTTTGATCAACAACCGGATGGTCCACTCAAGTTGGTTTTGTAGACTCTCAAGAAAGCTTTGAGATGCTGCAGTTTCCAAGGTCTCATTTGATTTGTGGAAATCCTCGACTTGGGTCAGACGCTCAAGTGATGCTACCATGTTTGCCCCGACCATGCGGCCCAAGCCAGTGTTTGTTTGGCAAACATTATTCTCGATAGCGCCGAGTGTGACCATTTCCACAAGGAACGTAGAGTATGCTGTGTGTTCTAATGTTAGTCAAGTCGGTATTTCGAGCGTGGGAATAATGATCTCACTCACATCCAATGCCAGTGGTAATTGGGCCAACAACTCTTTCATCCTCACGGCCACCGATTTCATACGTTCCAAGAATACTTGGGTCAGCTACGCTGATCGCATGCCAGCGAGACAAAATTGCCAAGGCCACCCAATTGCGACGTACAAGATTTGCCTCTGAATCAACATCCGGGTCTGAAGAACGCTTGCTTTTCAGCTGACCAAGACCCTTGGCCAAATCGGAGCCAAGTTTGCTGGCCGACTGGATCAGAGAATGCTTAGGTACGCCGTCCTTGAGAACAAAGTTGTCTGGTCCCCGAGAATCACAATCGAGGATCATTAGTAACATGGTCTGGAGCCAGATCAAGTTAACTCCTGTCGGGCGGGCCAAAGCTGGCTGCCGGGTATAGTACAAGAGAAGGTCTTGTGCATTGTCAAATGACGTGACCCTTTCGAATGTGCTTATAACGCGATCCATGTTGGTACGCGTCACAGTGTACAAACTGTAAAGGAAAATCTCCTGCACCTCACGGCTGCACTGATGTAGAACCTCGAGTAGACGTTCCTTGGAGTGTGACAAGATAGGGAAGACGGGATGGATCTTTTGATAATAACTGTATGTAGTTAGGGTGTATTGCCCAAGGAGATTTGGATTACCAAGTCTATGGTGGACTTACGCGTTGAGGGATCCCTCATCCACATCCAAGGGAGTCATGTCTTCTTCCATAGCTTGCTTAGGTACTTCTGGCATCTCTAGTCCATGCGGCAGCTCCGTCTCATTACCGGTCGTCCAGAATAAGTTACCGGGTTTTGGTGCTGTACCGCTCACGGCGGACGGGTTGTACGGATCGGTTGAGGTTTCTCCTGTGTCTTGTATAGTTAGTAGGGTAAGATCACACACTATGTTTGACGGACACGAACCGAAAGCATTCTGAGAGCGAGAATTGAATTGCGGCTGTGTGAAAGAGGAGCTGGGAAGTCCTTCGAATACAGAATAGGTCCGCTTGCGCCCAATGGAGCCTGCATCCATTGGTGGCGAGAAGTCTTGATAAGCTCTGGGTGACGACACTTCGTTCATAGGTTGATAAGGCATATCGGGGTGAACCATCGCAGGCTGCATTTGACTTTCAAGGGTGTGAAGGCGCTCTGCAAGCTCCTTGATGTAACTATGGAATATCGTCAGCCGAACGCGACAGCATCATCAGAAGGGAAACGAGGACAAATATTACCCTTTGCTGGGGCCGCGCTTCATGGGGACGCGACTAAACTGACAAACAACCCCAAGTCGGCGACAGTTCGAGCAGGTTTCCACGCCAGATTCAGAGCTTGCATCACAGCGAACCTAGGAAAGCACGCGGTTAGGTCATCGAAAACAATGTCGCGTCTGGAGGCAAACGGTGAGGTGGAACGTACCTTCTTGCGTCTGCATTCGTCGCAGGCGCGAGAAATCTTCGATCTTTTTCTCCTCGCGCTCTGGTCTCCGTAACTTAAGTCGTGATTTGGGTCGACACCGACTTGCTGGCTGGGGGTAAACTGTAGCATATGTTGTTGTTGATGCTGGTCCGGAGACGAGGGACGACCCATGTCACCACCACCAGGGTTCGAAGATCCTAAGACCATCGATTGGCCATGATGAACGCCATTGCTAGAACCGTCTGCGAGGCCGGGGCCGGAGGTTTCGCGGGATAGCTCAGCGGATAAGAGCTCGTCGGCTGTCAACTGGCGGTTCGCGTAGTACTGCATAGCGCCCTGACCCATCTGCGCCGCGTTGGGGGACGGGTAGGAGGCGGTCGGAGGCATATCAGAATGCTCGCGGGAATTCATTGTGTCGAGAAACGATAATACCGCTCATGAAATGTGTGGGTGGGCGTTGGAGCGACGCTCCGGGAGATGTAAGAGGGAGAGTGTTGAAGGACGGAAGACGCGAGGACAGCAGGCAAGGTTTTACAGGCTAAAACTGCCTGGGCGGGGGGCAGTTTTGAAGGGGTTAGTGCCGATTGCCCTCGGCGCAATTCGCAAGACTCAGCAAACATGATCGCGCGACTGAATTACAGAAATGAGGATCGCTGAATCTGATAAAGGCTCGGGGACGAGAATATAGTTTCATACTTGGATGATCGCGCCGACGCGGAGGACCGGCTTTTTGTTTCTGCGTCCAGCGACGGATTAATACTATTTCCCACCGGCCCAGAACTCGACCAAACCGCATCTCAGGCGGAAGAATATCGGAGGTCGAGGGCTTCTATGGGGCGAAATTATCATTTTGGTAGATTGGGGCGAGATCTCTTGAGCTCAGGGAATCATGATCGCATCCCTCGATTTTAACCTGATCCGTCTTGTACATGAAGCATTTAAAGTAACTCTTTCGACCCAACGTCGCAGATGATGTCAGTCCGACACCACCACCATCATTTTTTTTTGTCATTACTGTATTCTAAAGCCCCTTGAAGGCCAGACTTCTGTTCCCACATCTGCTCGTAACATTTTATAGTATCATATATTGGGAAGACTAGCAGTATAGTCCCCACATTTTCGCTGCCCTCGCTAAGTAACCACACCTCCAACTCTCGCTGACGATGCAATAGGCATACTAATGCAGATATAGTATATCTTTATTTGGGAATTTACACTACGGAGTATCTGTGAAATTGTTTGGCTTGTTAGTATTTCTTACCAGGAGTTTGAGTTGCTGGTTTAGGATAGCCTCACAGAATTGAGCATACGGTCAGCCGACGATATATTGAATTTTTCCCACAACTCCTTTGGTATTATAAATTGGCAGGACTGATTAACCTATAAAACTACTCCATGGATACTTCTTTTCCATTTGTGAGTGTAGTATTGACGAAGGTGGGTATCTTATACCAGCACATAGTACAGTACATTGTGTACGGATATCGAGCCAATACCATGCTAATATCCTCAATATTTCCTCTTTCTCCTCCTCTAACACCGCCTTACACAGCAGCAGAAGCTCCAGGCCATTCAGAGCTAATATTGACTCAATTTCTTTTGCAGTTCGTCAACGTCTCGAACTTATTTTGGGGTAAGCCCGATTGTCAATATGAGATATACGGTACATCAGTATATAAAATAATAGCAGAACGCTTCGGGCCCCGCTACTATTACATCCAGATTTTGGAATAGATTATCACTCCTCTGATCCAGCAGTTGATTGTTGTTATCTTGGATGTGTTACTTTGACACCGCCCAGTGGCAACCTCATATTCTAGCTGGTCCCAGGAAGCTGGCGCACTCCACATGGGCACAAAGGAGTCCTAAGTTTTAACTACCACCCCGTAGCCGTACGCAAAACCTGTCAGTCGGGCAATGTTTGATATCAGCAGTGGATCCGTCGTGTACTCCGTACAAACAAAGGATCACTATATACAACTTGATTTCATGGGCTCTATTTGCAGAAGAAGCCAACTCAGACCCGCTCAATCGGCCGCCCATCATCCTCTACCTCAGGTACACTTCGTGTGTGGTGCCTCGAACTATACCTCACTTGGCCACTTGTGGATCACAATCGGACCCCAAGGCCAATCCCCAGACAGTCTATAGATAGTCCCACTTGTTGATCCGCCGCTTCAACGTAGGGATCGTCTTATGGTGCAATTTTAGCCGTCCACGGTAAGGGCAGACAGAAGATATCAAGATGAGATCTACTAAATCTAAGGCCTGCCAGTGGTATTCATAACAGTGCATGTCTCTCAGTTTTCACACTCGGGCCCATAAAATAAGCCACACTCAGTCTCTGACATGGTCGCTTTCCTCTGGAGTAGAAGGCTTCACAACCCGGTGGATCTGTTTCAATCTACTGCGCGCTGGTCTGCCCCAGTCAACGGACCGTATCCGCATTGTGGGACTTAAACCTACTCTTACTTATCTAGGCCTAGTCCAACATAGTTCAGTGCGCAGTCCGAGTCAATTGGGAAATAAATTTTTTACAGTTGTATTTGGGCCAGATAAGGGAGGGGCCGATACTGCTCGTGCGAATGGGCTTATTTATTGGTAGTCTGAGTATGAGAGACACTGTGTACGCAGTACTGATAGGTTGGGTTTTCTGTTCTGGAAGTCAAATCTTGTCCTGTTGAAGAAGTGTTGAAGCTCTCAAAGCGGTGTTTTGTTGGTAGGTTTATGGTTCTCATATTCTCGTATACTTAAGTCTTCTCGGATTGATATAATTATTGCGCGCTCTAGCGTCTAGACCGTAGGAGGCATGGTATTCATTGGAATAGAGAGCCGGTGATCATCCTTCTGTCCGGCAGCAAATATACAATACATACTGGAGTACGTAGTAAATGGTTCCAAAATACCTAACAGTTGCCTATAGCCCTGGACTTTCCAAATCTAGGACGATTGTTAGTTCTCAACTGGCTGACGAGAGAAGACGGAAGGTCCGAAAGGACCCCATTTTCTCTCCGAAAGAGGTTATCATTGGTGGAGCAGCCATGCGCCAACGCCGCGCAGATCAGGCCCCCTCCACTGCACATGACCGGCCGGCAAGACCGCTGCAAAGGTCCTAAACAAGCAGCTGTGACGCCATTTCAGAGTCCCTACAACCCGTGATGTCGCGATGGGAGATCTGAGGGCCAACCATGGCAACCACGAGCGAATGATCGGTGATGTAAATATTTTCCTAGCCCTGACTGCTTCGATCTCTGATAGGCAAGGTACGGTTATCTTTGCTTTGGGCTTGACGTACTTCGAAGTGCTGGGATGGCGACGCTGACTCGTTTAATGATTGAGCCTTGGAACGCTTGACTGGATACACGACAATACAATACAATACAATACAGTTCGTAACTGTGGGCGCAGAAGATCTGACTTCACTTCCCTGGGTCCCAACATTTATCAAATAGAAAATTAGTCATTGACACGGCTGGCAGACGGAGAACGATGGCGTTCATGCCAATCAATCTTTATCTTTGCCCATTCGTGCCATGGTGATACTGGGCAACCCTGCCGTGAAAGAGCGCCGGGCACTGAAGCAAAGTTCAACTCAAATCGGTTCACCGCATTGACAACCATGGTCCACTGTTGGTGCCTGTCTAACCATATTGATAAAGTCTTCCAATGACTGGCTCAGTTGGAAGGTTTTGCTCTGCATGGAACATCCAAATTGACATTCTAGAAGAGTTGACCGTAGCAGAGTGGCAAAGAATCTGGGATCCCATGTCCATTGTTGTAGTTCTACAGGGCACTAATGGACGGTCGGTCACTTGAAATCAGAGACTATCTTTTGTGGTCGACAAGGCGAAACGTAGACATCCGGGCACACTTGGCGCTATCGGGTACTCTTAGGTATTACCAGTACCTTTCTGAAAAGCAAATTCAACAAGCACGAAAACTCGGTCTAGAAAATCCACAGTAGTCAAGTATTCGCCGGCCCGGGTTCTGCCCCAGAAATTTCGTAACAGGATCCATCGAGTAGTGGACAGAGTTTGGTCCAGTCTCCCCAAGTTTCCGTACCAAGCCTCTGTTCTCCAGTCGTTCAGTGGTCTTGTACCCTAAAACCTACCTATCCACCTTTACGTTCCCTAGGTTGAACAACGACCAGTGACTAACCCATGGTAAATAACGACCCTAACAATTCAGGCGTAAATCGCGGCTGGCGTCGCAAGTGATTGAATAGGTTTGGATGAGAAGAATCGCTCTGTGGTAGCGGTTGTCAGAGACCCCTTGCATTGAATAGAAGATACGGTACATACAAGCCTGTGTCTGTGCTGAGTTTTCTAGTTTCTATTTTATTTTCTAATTTTTTCTTTTTTGTCGATTGTGATTGAGACTCCAGATATGACCATACATATACCTGCATGCATACATTTTATGTAAGTAGATCTGTACTTCCTCGTACAACTTGTTGGAGAACAGTCATAACATAATCTACAAATTGATCTAGAATTCTTATTACGGCAATTGCTCTGGACCGGACAATAATTTGTGCGTAATGCCAATCTGTGTGACGCTATCACTGGCTGTGTTGTCATCGCCAACTTTTGGATTATGCCTACCTAGAGGAAGGCAGCCACTACCAAAGAACCGGGACACATCCGCAAATGCAGCTTTACCAAACTGTACCATGAAAATTCTGACCCGTGCAGGGCTGACTTCAAGGATTACTCCTTAGCTAAAGGGAAACAGGAAAGGAAGACAAATGAGCTTGAGTGCTGTGAGGAGTGCATAAGTTCTGTATGTGCGGGTAGCTTCAGCACGAGGGACAAAGCACCTGTAAAGGTACAATACGGTAATAACCATGGACATCCATGTACGGAGTACTGTGGAGCAGACTACGAAGCATTCCATACTCGGGGTGCATGACAAGTCCTCACCAGAAAAGTTATGTCCATGCGTGAAACATCCTGGACCTTGGATTGATCGAGTAAAGAAACTGTGACAAATCAAAGTAGCATCCTTAAAGAAAACAGATAACCTCAGTTCGAATTGAAAACAATGATATTAAGCACTGGGTTCCCCTCCGGCCATCTATCCAAATAAAATTGTTTCATTCCGGTCTGTTCTCGTACCAGGTCTGGCTGACTCCGGTGAGACACAGCCACCATTGACGCAACTCCCTTGCGGACGCCGAAATGTTCCACATTTGACCTGGGCCATTTCCGCCTTAACCCTGTCCATTTCACTTTTACCCCCCCAAGTTAAGTTGGAGTAGAACGGGTCGGGAGTCAGCTAACATAACCTAACCTAACCTACTTCTTCGCCCGCTTCCCTCCCGCCTTTTCCTCCTCCTTCTCTTTTCTTCTCCTTTTTCCTTTCTCCTTCTCACAGGGTTTGGCACACAACTCTGCCTTCAGATCGATCGCCTTTCCCCTTTATCTTGGCCGCCACAGCCGGTATTTGGTGTCCTGTCTCACGGCCGGCGCCAAACGGTGCGTAGGCTTTGGCCCCCCATTCAGTTGTTCTCTTCCTTTTCTCTTTTTCTATAATCCGTTGGGCTCTTTCTTAGTCTCGATCCGACTTGCCCCCTCCTTCCCCGGTTCCTGGTTCCTGGGTGTGCGCTATTCGCCAGGTACCTTAATTGTCTTGCACCCTCACCTTCGTACTTGCGACTGCACCTTGATAGGTGAAACGGCGTTTTCTGTGACTTAGTTTGGTGCATTGGGATATTCGTTAAGAGATACCCTTGCTTTGTTGGAGTTTTTCCTGGTCTCGGTCGGTCCGATCACCCTGACGGACCGCACACTATACCTCGAATCCTCGCGTTGACGGGACTTTCGATACCCCCCGACAGGTCTTCCTGTTCGGTTATTGAATACTTTTGAAAAAGAAAAAAGAAAAAAACAACGATTAGAATAGCCAGAGAGCCCTGTGCTATCTACCCCTCGATCTACAATTTAAATTACTTCCTATATACTCGTCGCGAGTCATCGCATGTTTGCTACCCAGTAACCGCGATAATGCTCATTGATGGCGAGAAGTGGGCTTGTGAAGCTTGCGTCCGGGGTCACCGTGTCAGCAGCTGTCACCACAGTGGTAAGTCGATAGACACCTCCTTTTGTTTTGAGCCGGAAAGATGATTGACTCTGGAGATTACAGACCGCCCCTTGACCCACATCAACAAAAAAGGCCGCCCAGTCTCTCAATGCGCTCACTGTCGCGGCCTACGCAAGTCACGGACAACCCACACAAAGTGCGAGTGTGGTGACAAGAAAAAGAACAGCCACAAGCATGATTTAGATCCCCACCACGCCAATGATAAGCGGGATCACAAGCGTGAGCATGTTGGAGTTGGTACACTGGTTCATTGTTTCTGATCTGCATTACAGAGGACTCCCGTCCAAGATGTGGCTGCACTCATGGACAGCGCTGTACCTGTGCGCTGAAGAAGGAACCCCACCTAAATACTGTGCCGGAAACTGGTCTTCCTCCGCCCCAGCATACTATTCTGTCGGAGCCACCCAAGAAGCCCCAGTTGACCTCGACCAAGTCGGAGAGCACCCTTACAATATTCCGAGATGGTCACCATAAACCGGCTCATAAGCACAATGACATGGCTCACAAATGTGGTCTGCCTTACATGATACCCCGGTCTCATACGATCCACTCGACCTCCGATGTGTCTCGTCGATCCGTCGATCAGTTGCCCTTGACTCAAGCGGCCTTGATGAACGAACCATTTGCGACTCAACCATTTCCGGAACAGCAGCCCACCCACGCTCCTCAGCGTCGTGTCAAGTCTGAGCATGGGTCTCCCGATAGTGCCCCCGTCGTGTCCACGGAAGATGTACCGACGACAGTACCCCCACTCGACCTCTCGTCTTTCTTCCCTCAGCCTCAGCCCATGAATAAGCCCACTGAGGCCGAGCCGGTGTCCCTTTCCATGGGGAAGACGCCCATAAATCCACTCATGACCAGTGTGCCGCCTCTTGATGTCTCGTCCTTCTCTACTTTCCCGACCACGACCACATCGCCCGTGAACACCATGGCGTTCCAAGATCCTTACAAGGAACAGTTTTTCACATCGCCAGACAACGATATGCCCTTGGGTCCTACAGGATTCAATGCACCCCCTGTCGATTGGTCAAGTTTTCCTCTGTACTCCTCGGATGTTCCTGCCGCTGCCAGCACACAGGCTCCCTCTTACGCGAGCTTCGACTACAACTCCATGAGCCATGGTCTACCAGCCCCATCGTCGTCTGGCGATATTTCCGAAGTGGAGGATTTCGTACCGTTTTCCGGCTTTGGAAACGCGGGTAATGACCTTCAAGATCTCGCCAGTGGGAGTGAAGGCTCAGATCTCGATCATTTCCGCATAAGTTCCGCGTCATCTTTTATTGGCCTTCCTCAGGCGCAACTCTTATCGTCAAATCAGCTGGACTCAATCAACATTGACGACTTCCTCAAGTCCGCTAATGAGTCGACAGCAGCACTAGAGCATCAACTTCAAGCCAATATGGGGATGGAACCTAAGCCACTCCCTTCGCAGGATACTTACGCCATGTCGGACGCCCAGACCTTCAAACCAATGTCCACCCCTACGACGAGCCTTCCGATCACAACGTCTGCTGCGGATCCCATGTGGCCCGCGGCGCTCTTTGACCCCGCCGCTACGCCGGTCGATGACAACAACTTTTACCCGCCGTCTTGGGTGCAGTAGTGCACTCGTGGGCAAGCGCAAGTTTTCTGGCTTTGTGGTCTGTTCGCGGCACGTTACCACCACCTCCACACCGTCTGAGTGACGACACGCACGTCTTCACGACCTTGATGAGAGATGATGAGAAATGCCTGATATTATTGTTCAATTAGCCAGTCCCAGTCAAACTATACTATAGCATTCAATCGATAAAGACTAGTGTTCATTCAACTCGATCTGCTTCTGGCTCTTCTCTTGCCTTGTATCTTTTCTTGGCTCTATTTGGTGGTTTTCGGGTACAACAGTCCCAGTCTAATATTGCCTAATACTTTGACGATGCCCAGTACATGTATACACAATCTTGGCTTGCATCTATAGACATCCTGATTCCTAGCTGCTTATATACTCTTTTACCCAGATCATCCACCAGGCTCCTCACCTAAACAGTAGCTGGGCAAACGTAGCGAATTCGTAGCCCCGTGGACAAATGAATCCCACGTCAGAGGAGGGCGTCCCTCGTCGTCGGCGCGGCTGTGTCGGAATCAGGGCTCAGTTCTGTGTTACCATTTAGACTTCCGAACCGGGCTAGACTTGATAGATCATGTGCATGACCCCAACCGAGCACCCCTGCAGTGTAGCGGTGTATGGAGTTACATATGTGCCTATTTGAGTGATGTAATCCGGGGGCTCTAGGGGGAATCCGGCGGTGAGCTGAGACCTACAACATGTGACCAGTATCTAGGGTCACTGTGGACTCAAGCCTTGCCGGCTACCATTTCTAGATACCCTTATTCCATGGATTGACAATGGCCGAAATGTGGACAGTTCCAGGCCTTGAACCCGGAGGACACGTTGCATCAACGAAGTCGAATGGTTCAGTACGGTATAGATACATACACATCTGTCCATCCATACATACATTCAATACATACAGTACGGAGTATAGCATGTATGTATGTATTGTACCCTTGTCACTGCTCTATACCCCCTTCCCTTCCTCAACAAAAATTAACTCGGGGAATGCCACCACACACTCTCTTTCTCTCTCTGCTAACCGGAAATTTTCAGACAAGAAAAACAAGCGAATAAACACCATACCACGCAAACCACCTATCACATCCAGCAGGGGCCGAAACTGCAGATTCGCTTCTGATTCACGGAGAGCAAGGAAGGGTAAAAATAGAATGCAGGTTGAAACAGGTTGCATAGACATACCCCAGGCAGGTAGGTACCGGTACCCACAATGAGGGATTTATTTCATCGCGTCCATACCGGATATTTTAAGTAAGGAGGGGGTGGATTATGCAAGGGGACGAAGGACAAGCTTTTTGGGAAAAGGCTTGTTGGGTCTTGGCTCTGGATGAGAGGGTTTGATCTGTCGACTAACCCTAAGGGTAACCATAACAACCGACCGGTGTGGTAGAGGTATGTATGTATGGGTCTGCTCGGGATATGGTGGGTATAGTTGGGTGGTTGTGTGATGAGGACTAGAGGGTGGTGCTTTCTGTGGGTATATACTACTTATCTATTAAGTTTGATGGGCTTTACGGTGATGTTTTATCGTGAATTAGGGATATCGCTGTAGGTTCTCGGAGACATTTGAGAACTTGCTGTATTGAGTACAGATCTACTCGATACCCTTTTACCTCTCTTTTCGCCTTTTCGTTCTTTTTTTTTTTTTTTTTTCTTTTTTTTTTTTTTTTTTTTTTTTTTTTTTTTTTTTTTTTTTTTTTTTTTTTT